ATCTTTCTTTCTCTCTTTCTCACACACGCACAAAGCACACAATCACATTGACCAATTACAGGCCTCGAATATATGCTCCTACTTCACTCTCAGCCAATCAAACATCAGCGGCTTTCCGGATCGCAGTCGGATAAGTATCATCTTGGCCAAAAGATTGGACTTTAATCTCAACTATTCATTCTACCTTATCGCCAGGGTGGGTTTCCCGTCAGTTTCATTTTCAATTTGTAATGAGTTTAACTTTCAATTTTAAAACAATAACAGGATCAAGGCAATCCTTCTTTGACGGATTCCACGAACGTCATCATGACGGTTGAGAACTCCCAGGACTCCAGGCCCATTTTCATCGGCACTCCATACTTTGTCAACGTTCCTGAACTTGGCAATGATTTGGTGAGATGTGGATTGAATGGTGATCATTATCATTACCATTTACCAGCACTATCATCATCGTCGTTAATGTGTATCATTATCAATTGCCAGCATCATCATCATCATCGTTAATGATTGTGGGTGATCACAATCATTAACAACCATCATCATCATCATTATTGCCGTCGGGGTCATTAGGTCAACATCACTTCCGGTATCGTCATCATCAACATCATCACCATAGTCATCATCCTCATCATGTTGTCACTATTAACAACCACATCGTCATTGCCATCTTCATCGGTACTATCATTTTCGTCATAACTGTTATCATCAATATCATCATCATCATTCCCATCATCATCATCATCATCGTCTCTATCATCATCGTCACCATCATCATCACCAGTCTACAAGTTTGATGTCCTTCCAAGTGAGAGATGCCCGTCCACCAGGGCCTGGAAATTCGCTGCAACTGACCCTCGAGGGAGGTTCGTGGATGGATGGATGGATGGATGGATGGATGGATGGATGGATGGATGGATGGATGGATGGATGGATGGATGGATGGATAGATGGATGAATGGATGGATGGATGGATGGATGGATGGATGGATGGATGGATGGATGGATGGATGGATGGATGGATGGATGGATGGATGGATGGATGGATGGATGGATGGATGGATTGATTGATGGATGGATAGAAAAGAAGGCTTCTATAGAAATGAGTTGATAAATAAATAAACTACTTATCAATAATTTAAACAAAACTCAGATTTCTACGAAATTAAAAATCCAACCTCTCATACATTTACCAATTTAAAGACACGAAGAACTGGTTCACCCTGGGCTACCCCAGTTTGAACGGGGACACGTACACGGTGCAGTTGAGGAGGAACAGCCCCAACATCAACCTCGACGAAAACAGCCAGAGGTCAAGATACGCCATCAACATCAAGGTCATTTGATACCACCTTCTTTGATGTCATTGAGATGCAGTGTTATTTGATAAACAATGAATACAACATTACTTTTAGTATTGATATTATTATTAGGTTACTGATATTTTTCCAAATTTATGACATTAATAAGAAGTTGTTAGCTCAGAAGATAAAGTACTTCGTCAAATGTTCTTCAGTTCCGCGGCAACCTGGTTCAAACGCCAAGTAGGCAGAACATGGATAACATACATGACATTGAACATACCTCTTGCGTGTGATGAGAAGTTTCTACCGACAAAAATAATATAAACAAAGTGTATAAATATGCGGCTTAAAAATACGATTCAGTAGATCCTCATATATACAAGCTTAAATTACGTTTACAAATTAATCTCAACATCACATCTGAGCCCCGTGCAGACAAATGCACACACACAGACACACGCACACACACACACACACACAGATAAACCACACACACACGCACACACACAGGCCACACAAATAGTGAACAACCAGCTGTCGAGCGTCTACAGCATGACGACCATCAACGTCAACATCATCGACATCAACAACAACGCCCCCATCTTCTCGCAGTCCTCCTACACAGCCAATGTCTCCGAGGGCCTGGTCTACCTGGCCACCGTGGCCGGGGTGTCCATCGTCGTCACCGACTTGGACCTGGTTAGTAGTGGGCTGGAGGAGAGACTCGCCACGTCTTCATCGTCATTACAATTCCAAAATCTTTACTATCAAAGTTCTTTTATTACCAAACGTTAAATAGTGTTTGTAGAAAATAGTTTTTTCTGTTTAATACATCCATTGTTAAATAAAACAATTGTTATATAGTTTTTTTTGTTTTTTGGATTATATATATATATATATGTGTGTGTGTATGTATGTGTGTGTGTGTGTGGTGTGTGTGTTTGTGTGGTGTGTGTGTATAAATAAATAAATAGGTAAATTATTTTTTATATATAAATAATTATAAATACTTACTTCTCGTTATGTCGATTTAATCCTTATAATATGCTGTGAACTGCTTCTTTTACTAAATGTTTTGGTAACGTGAATTAACCTCCGAAAACTACTAAGAAATGTAAATGGTAATAATAATAACAACAATAATAACAATAACAACTATAATAACAATAATAACAATAACAATAATAATAATAATAACAAACACTTAACGAACAATACCTCTTATCTCCCAGCAAGACAACGCCTACTTCGAACTCTCCCTCAACCACCTCCCTCCTCTTCAGCCCGGCATCTTCCAGGTCAGTCCCACCTTTGGCCAGGGTTCAGTGGCCGCAGCCCTGCAGGTCGCCAAACCAGAATTCATTCGTTATGACGTCATGAAGACGATGAATCTTACCGTTAGTTTTTGGGCCGTTTCGTTTCTTTATTTATCTGCTGGCTCGTGGCTGTTTTGTTTCGCTATTTATATTCAATGAGTCAATTAAGGAATGAGTAAGTTAATTAATTGGCTATTTAATTAATTGAGAGTTTAAATAATTAATAATTTTTTTAAATTAATTTATCCATTATTTCAATATACATTCCTTTTGTTGTTTTTTTTCCTTCGTCGGCTGATCTGCTCGGTTGTCAAATTTCATGTCGTCTGTCTGTTTTCGGGAATTAGGTGCATCTTTTCCGTGTCTACATCTAGATACATTCCGTGTTTTTTTAATATTATATTGTTATCCGCATTAAGTTTTTAGCATTTCATTCACTCATTTTTTTAATTAGTTAATTAACTAATTAATCCATTAATTAACTAATTAATCAAAAAATTAATTAATCAATTAATTAATTGCCACATTCTGTTTTTAAATATCCTAAAATATCATTTCATCCAAATTCCTCTCTCCAACCCCATTCCCCCCTCCAATTCCTACCCGGCAGATCGTGGCGAGGGAAACGCGGACGGCAGAGAGGAGGTCGAGTATGGCCTCAATAACCATCTACATCACCAGCCCTAACAACCACGCCCCCTACTTCCCCAACATTCTTAACCCCATCAGCATCTTCGACGACACCCCCGTCTACAGTCAGATCAGCAGTTACATCAGGGTCAGTTGGGAATTTTGTGGAGGGTGTGGGGGGTCATTATGTGTGGAGATGTTTTCTCTGGGTGATGATAAACATTATGATAATGATGATTATGATGATTTTGATGGTGGTAAAACTAATAAAGATGATGATGATGATGGTGGTGGTGGTGGTGATGGTGATGATTGTGATGGTGATGATGATGATGATGATGATGATGATGGTGGTGATGATGATGATGATGGTGGTGATGATGATGATTTGATGTTGGGGATGGTGGTGGTGATAATAATAGCAATAATGATGATGAAGATGATGATAAATATGGTGTACCTTCGCTGAACAGGCGCAAGACGATGACCCTGGAGACAACGGAAAGATAACGTACAAAATAATCAGCACAGATAACAGCGATAAATAGTGAGTCACTCATTCACTCACTCATTCAATCGCTCACTGACTCACTCACTTATTCATTCACTCACTCACTCACTCACTCACTCATTCACTGACTTACTCATTTATTCATTCATTCACTCACTCACTCACTCACTCGCTCACTCACTCTTACACTCACTCACTCACTCACTCACTCATACACTCACTCACTCACTCACTCATACACTCACTCATACACTCACTCATTCATACACTCACACACTCAGTCATCATGATCATCATACCACACTGTATAGACCATCACCGTTCCTGATATGATATAACGTACCATCTTTATCGTCAAGTCATCTTAATCGTCACATCACGTCGAATCACTAACAATGATGATGATTAACATCGTAATCATTATAAGTCGTCGTCATAATCATCATTTGCAACGGTAGTAATGTCAAAATCACCATTACTGCAGCAGCCCTTGTCCCAGATACATCACTACATCACACACGCAACACACACACAACACAACACACACACAGCACACACACGCAACACACACACACACGTAGCTTCTCTATAGATCCAAACTCTGGAATCCTAACACTGAGCAGCCCACTGAGCTACAGCGTGCAGTCGACGTTCTTGTTCCAGGTGCAGGCCACAGACGGCGGCGGACTTACTGCCACCACTTCCATCCTCATTAACATCAAGGACCACAACTTCAACTACCCTGTCTTTGATTCGGACAGCTACATCACCTACGTGCCCGAAGGCACGACTGACATGCAGCCAAGAGTCACTGTCAGGGTCAGTTCAAGGGGTGTATTTTTAATTTATACCAGATTAGTATTTGATACTTATTACTTTTGGGGTGCTCGTACTTAATTTATACAAGATTAGTATTGGCTACTTATTATGGGGCTTGTACTTATTTAGTAAACTCTATCTCCAGTCGACTTTTTCTGCAATTTAAATGTGTAGTTTAAGTTTAAAGCGTTATATTAACTAGAGCAGTGATGTTGAGTGAAAAAATGTAAGTTAGCCTTAAGACTAAACTTGAAAAATGGATTTTCAAAACAGTGCGACAGTATTTCAATTTAAAAAAAATCAGATTTTAAATTGCGAAGTGAGCAAAAAAATTAACTTTGCGCAACCACTCTGCAACACATCCACAACACAACCACACCACAGCCACAACCCCACCACAGCCACACTTCACCACACTACACAGGCCGCATTAAGACCAATGATATCAGACAGAGTGTATTACTATCAATTCGGTCCCGGCATCAGCCAACTGATCAACACGACCTTCAGAGTCAACCCTAATACCGGATCCATCACAATGCTCCAGCCTGTTGATTTCAATAGAACACCTAACAAGCAGGGATAGTAAGTTGTGCTGCTGCTGCTACTGCTGCTACTGCTGCTGCTGTTGCTGCTGCTTGCTGCTGCTGATGATGATGGTGGTGGTGGTAATGGTGATGATGGGATGTGATGATGTTGGGATGTAATGAAGTTTTTGTGATGTTAAGGTAATTATATCTTACTGCTCTGCTTCAGATGTTTCGATAAAACAAACACAGCATACTTAGATATGCATTCGAACCAGGGTACTGCAAAGCAGGACCAACCAGGCGTCCTTAACCATTAGGCCAATAAGTTATGTGATAATGACAATTATAAAAATTTTATAACAGCGATATCAATCTGGACGATAGTGATGGTAATTAGCCGCATGATGTATATGATGCTAATGATGACGGTCATGACATTCCAATTTATCTTAACGAAGTAATTACTCACTTTCAGTTTCGACATTCCGGTGGCCTGTGGTGTTGTTAACTACCCGGAAATTCCAATTGGCCACACAAACGTTCGAGTCTACATCATGGTTAGTTAAGTTTCGTTGCAGCCAAAGTGCAGTTTATTTCGTTTTGTTTCGATTAGTAATACAACGGTTCGATGTTTATTGTCTCGGTTCACTAATTGCTACTTACTTATCACCCCAAATGATATATAAATATATATATATATATATATATATATATAGAGAGAGAGAGAGAGAGAGAGAGAGAGAGAGAGTATATATATATATAGAGAGAGAGAGAGAAAGAGAGAGAAAGAAAGAGAGAGAGAGAGAGAGAGATTTGCTATAACAAAACCGTTATCCAAATTTTTCCTCGTATTCAAATTCTCAACTTCGGATTCATCGCCATATGTGGACGACCTCCTCATCGATCTCCTACTACATGTTAACACAAACAGCAAGCAAACCACAGAAAACCAAAAACGAAATCGCCAGTTGTGCATTCCACCATGCTACTCCTTACGTCTGGAATTCTCTCCCAGCAAGCGTCAAAAATTGCAATTCTATTCAGTCATTCAAGTCGTCATTGAAATCTTTTTCTTTTTAGCACAGCTTTTCAAACGTTCGACCGAAGATATTCTGTTTCCGGGGCGTCTCAGTCACTTGCCAGCGCGCTTCATTAAGTGATATCATAGAATGCCTCTCCAAAATATTTTTATCAGAAACGTCTTGAGCCCATGATTATGAAGTATCACCGCATTTTCCGCATTGCTGAGTTTATAACTAAGTTTTTCAATTTCTCGAAAAATTCTTTTATCGATATTATTCAATTTATTCAAATTAATAATAAAATATTTAATTAACTTAGACTGCGTTTTTCATATATACATTTACATATAATCTTTTTTCGGTAACCTTTACCATCATCAGTGTAATAGAGTTTGTGATATTGTTCTATGCAGTTCATCTGGAACTCTAAGTTTCATTGTTTCACTAATAATTCGACTTATTTAAGAAATCTTTTAATTAATTTAGTAATTATCTAATTTTTTAATTCAATTTTTAAATTAAATTTTATTTGGATTAAGTTCTCGTAATGAGGTTTTTAAAAATTCAAACTAATTCTTCCAATTTGTGTTACAAAAACATTTTTCTCACCCCACCCAAAGGACTCCAACAACCACCCACCCGTCTTCACCAATCCCAATTATCAGAGTATCACCATTCCCGAGACCACGAAACCTGGTTAGATGAAAAAATGAATGAATGAATGAATGAATGAATGAATGAATGAATGAACGAACGAACGAACGAATGAATGAATGAATGATCGGATAAATGAGTTGATTGATTGAAGAATGGATTGACGAATGGATTGACGAATTCGACGGATGGATTAATTGATGGATGGACTAACGGGCGGATTGATGGATGAATAAACAAACAAATAAATCGATATAATTAAATTAGTTATTTAATTTATTTTAATTTAATTTAATTTATTTAGTTATATAAATAACGATGAAAATTGGTACTGATGAAAAATGATTTAATTGAGACATTTAATAATGAATAATAAGGTCAATAAAAATATCAAAATAAATTAAAATTCAAAAATTATATATCACAAAATGTTTAATAAACGCAATACTAAATACTATCATTACACACACATACACACACACACACACACACACAACACACACACACGACAGACACAAACTCACACGCACACAAACCAGCCACTACTATCACCACACACACACCACACGACAGACACGAACGTAATGAGGGTGACGGCCACCGACGAGGACACTGGGGACTTCGGCAAAATCGTCTACTACATCGAGACGGGGTCCAGAGACGATTTTGTGGTGGACCCATTTACGGGCGACATCAAAGTAGCCCGCCAACCAAATCTTAAACCCGAACAAAATTACAACATCACGGTCAGTTTCAGCTGTCTGTAAGTTGATGAGGATGTGGTGGTTGAGAATGTAGTTGATGATTGTTAGGCGGCGCAGTGGTGTAGCGGTAAGGTGCCTGGCGTTGTCACTACAGTGACCGCATTCGATCGCAAAGAGATCCCCACATATCACGTGCAATCCTATTGCTACCGCATATGTTGAAGGGGATGCCTTGTTTCACGTGCATTTATACGTGCACTGTGTGCTTGTTGTTGATGAGTCCGAGAGTTGCTAGTGAGAGATTCGTAATATAATAATAATAATAATATTAGATGGATGGATGAATGAATGAATGGACGGATGGATGAATGAATAAACACCAACGATGTTTTAATTCAAATGATCATTGACTTTTCGTCACGCTATTTTTAGTTTAAAATTCTATTTTTAGTATATAGTTGGTTATTCATAGATCACGTGATCTACTGAACTTGACCTTACTTTCAAGGTCATAGCCAGAGATTCCGGTCAGCCACCACTGAGTGCCACCACGTTTGTTGCCATCATCATCACGGACTCCATCTCCCACAATCCAGTTTTCAGTCCCGATCAGTATACATACGTCATCATTGAAAGTGAGTGATGATGATGATGATGGTTGTGATGATGATGATGATGATGATGTGATGGTGATGATGATGGTGATAATGATGATGATGATGGTGGTGGTGGTGATGATGATGATAATGACTATGATGATTGTGATGATTACGATGGTGGTGGCGGTGATGATGAACATGGCAATGATGATGAAGATAGTCCTTTATTTGTTATTACGGTAGAGATGTTTAAGAAGTTATAAACTAGTCAGTTAGAATGTTTTATGATCTTTTTAAATTAAACATTTGTGTGCCCAGAACCATTCAATGATTTATTCAAGCACCATTTTATTTCACCTGTCAATCAAACAGCCTGTTAGGCGTTCAATCATTCGCTTATTTTTACATTCTCTCTACTTATTTCGTTCCTACGTTCATTCATTCATTTTTCATTCATTTACTCGCGCATTCACTTGTTTATTTATTCACTCATTCACTCACTCATTCAATCATTCATTCAGTCAGTCAGTCATTATTTTATTTATTTATTAGTTTATTCGTTCACACGTTCAATCATTCACTTACTCACTCACCCACTCATTCACTCACTCACTCACTCACTCATTCGTTCGTTCGTTCATTCAGGTACTCCAGCAAACACCTTAGTAGGAACTTTGAACGCCAAATCTCAAGACAAGAGAGCCAAACTGAGTTACTCATTTATCTACAACACCTGGAAAGTCTACAAAAATGATCAAGAAGTATCGGCTTCTGTGGCTGTTAGTTGGATCATTCCATTATGATGACGACGATGATGATAGTGATGATGAAAAGGAGGAGATTCATTCATTCGTCCATTCATTCATTCATCTATCTATTCATTCATTCATTCATTCATTCACTCATTAATTTACTCATTCATTCATCCTTTCAATAATTCTTTCATTCATTTATCCAGTCATTCATTCATTCACTCATTCACTCACTCATCCATCCATCCATCCAAATGTTTGATCAGGACTGGTTTAGCATAGATCAGGACATAGGCACGATCAAAATAAGGAACCCACTCATCCAGTACAGCCAATCGGATAAGGTGACAGTCAACGTCACCGTGAGAGTAACCAATCCCGATAACGTTAACGACGTCCTCTCTGCTATTGGTCAGTTTGAATTTATTGTTTCACCGCGAAAATTTTCTGTGTTGTATTTTATGTCGATGATTTTTGAGATAATGATAACAACGAAGTCGTTAATGACATGCAAGGTTAATGATCTAGCGGTGAATTTAATGGTTTTAATAATGAATTCAATAATTTTAATGAGGAATTTATTCCAATAAAATCACAAAAATAATAATAAAGACAAAAACATTCCAACAACAACCCTTTGTACCATTTCAACCTTCTCCAACAGCTCCAGTGACAATCCTCATCCTCCCAATCGCTCAGTCAAGCGACAAAGTGGTATTCAGCCCAGCGGCAGACGACTTCAACTTCCAGATGATCGAGAAGCAGCCGGTTAACACTCCCCTCTACAACTTTGTGGCCTTCTACCTCAAGGACAGCTCCCAGATCAGAAATTTCATCCTTACGGAAAATCCGGGCACGCCTAGAGGGTACTTCATGATTGACGGATCTACCGGTTCGTTCGTTTTTCATTTCCGCAAACTGTTTTTTGGAATTATTTACTTATTAAATTAAGCATTTTTATGTAAAATATTTTTTTTTGTTTTTCATTTTAATCATTTTTTATTGGCCATTTTTGACCATTTTTTTTATAAAAATTGAATAATAGTTTAATCAATTTTTTCTTTTTTTGTGATTATTTTTCTCTGGTTTTTTGCCAACCTATTCATTTGACTCAATAAGTGTATCTAAATTCAAAAAAAAAATCTAAGAAACAAATCAAATCCGACTTTCATTAAAAAAGGAAATATGATTCAAACTCCCGTCAGACATTGAGATAGAATGGCTGCGGCTTTCAAACATTCCTTCTTCTGTCTTTAAAAACTAACTATCAGTTTTTTAATTTCCACAAACACAATTTAGTTGAATCCTAACAACACAACAAAACATCAACAAAACATCAACAACACATCAACAACACATCAACAACACATCAACAACACAACAACAACACAACAACAACAACACAACAACAACAATACATGAACATACCAACACATCAACAACCAACAACTCAACGACATCAGGTGCATTGCGGGTATCCAAAGTTATAAACTACCTTGACCTTCCCTCTTCAAAAAATTTGACCTACAAGGTCAAGGCCACTGCACAGCCCCCCAGCACCGCGTATGCCCTGGCCAACGTGACTATCAACATTTTACCCCTCAATGGGGAGAAACCCATTTTCGTTAATGGGGTACGAGATATTTTTTTGTTTTTTTTTTGGTATTTTTGGGGTATCATCAAAAAACACAGCGTATGTATGTACTCTGCGTGTAAATGCGTACACCTGAATTGTGAATGTTTGCATGTGAATTGTGAATGTTTGCATGTAAATTATTAGAAATGTTTGCATGTAAATTATTAGAAATGTTTGCATGTGAACTATTAGAAATGTTTGCATATGAATTATGAATGTTATTTTATGAGCCAGCCAATCATACATTAATCGTCTGTTCATTCATTCATTCATTCATTCATTCATTCATTCATTCAAAAAATCATCCAACCATTAATTTATTTGTTTATTTATACATCTATTCATTTTCACTAATTCATTTTTTCGTTCATTTCATCATAAATTCATACACTCATATATACGTACGTACCTATTCAATATATACCTAGATAAATTCACACATGCACCCAATCAATCGATCACCTGCACCACAATAGAACTACATCTTCCGAGTGAACAGCACCCAACCGACGGGCACCACCATTGGAGTCATCAGTGCCACCTGCCCCTACGGCACGTCCCCCACCCCGGTTGTCACCTACCAACTTATCACCCCCAGTGACTACTTCTACATTGATCAAAATAATGTCGGTAAAACTTTTTTGTTGAGGAAGTTTTGAATGAATGGATGGATGGATGAATAAATGAATGGATGAAATGATTGATTGAATGAATTAAAGAATAAATGAATTAACCTTTTTAAATGATTTTAATTTTATATCGAAGTCATTTCAAAATCATTCCATAATTCATTTCATACTTTTGGCGTGATGATCTAATGGTTAAGGTATTCATACACGCTGTTTGTGCACTCTGTTGAATCCTCTGAACTTTGGAAGAGTGTAATTGACCTTTAATCTTTAATTCCACCCAAAATGATTTCACAATAATATTTTGTACGTAGGGCACCTTCGTACTATCGAAGAGACTCGATTCGGCGGACTCCACCCAGCTCCTGTACAATCTCATCGCCCAAGCTTACTGCGTCGACCTGAAGACCACATCAACTGCACTCGTTCGTTACTAACTTATTCTTAATCCATCTGATGATGGTGGTGGTGGTGGTGGTGGCTGTGTGGCTGTGATTTCTATCATGATAGCGACGGTATTTAACTACTGCTACAACAACAACAGCAACGACAATGGTGATGATGATGATGATGATGGTGGGGGTGATGATGATGATGATGATGGTGGGGGTGATGATGATGATGATGATGGTGGGGGTGATGACGATGATGATGATGAATGGCAAGACAGGACAACTACACCAATTCCAGATCCAGGTTTATGTCACTCCCATAAAAACACTGGTCCCCGTCTTCACGAACACCTTCTACAGATTTCCAGCTTCAGCCGGATACACCGGATTGCTGGGACAGGTTCTGGCCTACGATCCCAATCCCTTCAACAAGTCCTCCATCGTTTATACTATTCTCAGTGTGACTCCAGGTCTCAATGAGATTTTTTTTTTCTTATAACGTAATCTGGTGCGAACGAAATTAAGTTATAAAGAGCGCGAACTTCATCTTCTCATCATGAAAAAAACTTTGTGACACTTAAACACACACACACACGCCCACACGCACGCACGCACACACACACAGCATTATGACCAAGCCTTCACGATAAACTCGACCACTGGAGTAATTAACGTAACGTCAGTCCTACCCAAGCAAGATAAAAACTACACCATAGTCGTGCAAGCTGCCGATTCGTCCATCCCTCCGCTGACCAACACCACGATGGTCAATGTCGAGGTCACTCAGTTATCCTCCACGCATCCTGAATTTGTGGATTTCAATCCTATTGTTAATGTCTACCAGGTAGGTGAAGATGTGTGTATGTATGTGTGTGTGTGTGTGTGGTGATGTGTGGATTGTTGTTGTGTTGTTGATTGTATATCATTCGCCTTATCTCACCTCATCAGCACTCACGATGATATATATATTTGAACAGTATATATATATATATATATATATATATATATATATATATATATATATATATATATATATACATTTACTTGCCACACATACACACACCACACACACTTGTAGGAACAAAACCCGAACGATCCAGTGGTGATTTTCAAAACGGGTGGAAATCAAAAGGTCAACTTCACCATGGCCCCAAATGGAAACACCAAGTTCTACGTTAACCCCATCACTGGCGAGCTCATGATTAATGGAACTATTACAAGAGGGGAAGTTTATGAGGTTCGTAATGACGTCATCGTCATTGTCAAAGTCATTATCACCCTAATCCTTATTATCATCATCATCAGCGTCACATATCATCACTATCATTGTCATCATCAATGTCATTCTCATCATCGAAGTCGTTGTTATCATCATCATCGTTATTATATCATCATAATCATTATCATCATCATCATCTTCGTCATCATCCTTCCCTTCATCATCTTTGTCATCATCCTCATCCTCCTCATCATCTTTGCGGTCATCATCACCAACATCAACATCATCATCATCATCATCAGATGGTGATAATAGCAACCAGCGGCTTGTACAGCAGCAGCAAAGCGCTGACGGTCAACGTCTTCAGTGAAGCTCCGCCCTCATTCATCTGCGTAAGTTTGAGCGTGTACTATACATATATTCAATCAATCAACCAATCAGTCTACTAATCAATCAATCAACCAGCCAATTAATCAATCAATTAATCAATCAATCAACCAATTAATCAGTCAACCAATTAATCCATCAGTCAACCAATTAATCCATCAGTCAACCAATTAATCCATCAGTCAACCAATTAATCCATCAGTCAACCAATTAATCAATTAGGCAACCATCTCCCACTAATCAATCACAGAAACAGCCACGGCCCTTCCAACTGTTCTTGAAGAACTCGACAGGCCCCTTAGACCCCTCCCTCGGCCTCCAGACCAACACCGACTGCAGTTACGACATGCCTGGCACCGTCTTCCTCTATAATATCAATGGTCTGTCACCATGATGATGATGATGATGGTAATGATGATGATTTTGATGATTTTGATGATGATAATGATTGTGATGATGATGATGGTGATGATGATGAGGAGGAGGAGGATTGTGATGATGATGATGATGATGACGACGTCTAGCAACTTTTATACACAAACATTTGATGTCTCTTACATTCATTGGACAAATAAGCTCAGTCGGTAGGAGTGCCGAGTATCGCGTTGTTATTACGTGATGACCTGGTTCGATTACTAACAGTGCGTCGTGCGGCTTAGATAGTACAATCTTTGTGGCACGAAAGTTCGGTTATAATTACAAAATGATTTGTGGGCAGTTAGTCCTGAGCATGTGCTGCTCTGTGAAGGAAACAAAAAGATAGACAACTTGTTCGTTTAACGCTGATTAAATTTTTCAATGAGTCACTGCCTCATTCACTTGCTTAGTTGCAACTGACCAGTCAATCAATCAACCAATCAACCACCCAATCAACCGACTAATCAATTAATCAACCAACCAACCAACCAATCAATCAATCAACTAAACAGTCAACCAACCAATCAATCCAACCAATCAATCAACCAAACAATCGATCAACCAATCAATCGACCAACCACCAATCCAACCAATCAATTAACCAAACAATCGATCAACCAATCAATCGACCAACCACCAATCCCACCAATCAATCGACCGACCAACCAACCAATCAATAAATCAATCAATCAATCAACCAACCGACCAATGACACAGCTGTCAGTTACAATGGAACGAACATAGATCCGAAGCGGAGCATCTTCAGTATTGGAAGGGATGGAACCATCAACGTCGGGAGCAATGGACTGACCTACCTTGATGATGGCAGATATAGATTAACGGTAAGATGGTGGTGGCAGTAGTAGTGATGTTGATGATTATGGTTAGGATGATGTTGACGATGATGATGGTGTTGATGATGATAATGATGGTGATGTTGATGATAATGATGGTGATGTTGATGATGTTGATGATGATGGTGTTGATGATAATGATGGCGATGTTGATGATAATGATAATGTTGACGATGATGATGGTGATGATGATGATTATGATGGTTATGATGTTGACGATGATGGTGTTGATAATAATGATGATGTTGACGATGATGATGGTGATGTTGATGATAATGATGTTGATAATGGTTATGATGGTAACAGGGTTGACTAACAATAACAATCATCCCGACCAACAATTCCTCCCAACATTCGCAGATCTCCGTGAAAAAGCAGAACAGCAGTGTAGAGAACACGCTGGACACGATAGTTAGAGTCACTGACTGGGATACCATGGCTCCGAAGTTCGACAGCACGCTGGAGCAGTGCAGAGGATCTGGGCTCATCGTTAAGACTGGTCCGTACCCTGTTTTGAAACATTTTTTTTTTTTGTAAAATTCCTAATTTCAAATGTCTGCTTTGGAATGATTTACACAAAAGTAGGAATGATATAGATGCATGTTTGTATTTGTGTATAATTTTACAGTTTACAAATAGTTAAATAAATACTAAATAGGAATGAAATTTCGGAAAAATTTTCGACCTTATATTTTATTGTCGCGAAGAGTCAGAGCACGCAATCAACAGTTAAACAATTTCAATTTAAATTGCACCAAACATTAAAAAAGAACCAACCTCAACATCAACCTTTTAGGAATCCTTGACCTCACCCCATTCAACACCCCTGTCGTCCAGCTATTGGCCGGGGACTGTGACCCGCCCCCCTTCCGTAACAACGTCTACCAGATCACGAGCACCCAGCCCAAACAACTCTACACTGACACCTTCTACGGGGAAAACTCCGACTACACGGATAGACTAGCATTCCACATGAATCCGGATACTGGGCTCGTCAGCACGAATTATCCGGACTTTAGAAATTATTACAGGAGTTTTTTCGACTGCGATGTTAGCGTGAGAAGAGCTTCTGCCAGTGATGTAACCAGCAATGCCAAGTTACTGGTTAGTTTGTTGATTATCTTTCTCACCATTTTGTGAATTATTTTTCTCACTAGTTCTTAAAATAATTCTGTTTCCTGGTAGAATTTCTCTTCTGACTTCCACTTAGAAGAAAGTTATTATAAAGGATTTCGTTTGATTAAACAATGTGAAATGTCAATACATAATTACGTGATATTGTATCTAACAAATAACTGATACATACATGTATACACACGTATACATACATATACACAAGTGCACACGCACGCACACACACACACACACACACACACGTACGTAGGTGTACATTTTAAGAGAAACTAGCAAGTACAAAATTATCTTCAACAAGTCGTCAGATCAGATCAGAGCTCTCAACCAGTACCTTACTGAGTTAGTACAAGCAGTGGCATAAGTTTGATACAGTAATAATGGAAGTAATTTAGGAATCAGAGTAACATTGTTTGTCGAAATATTCAAACTAACTGGTAACATTCATACGATGTCTGGTCTGTGAGTCGCATGAATTTTTTTTTGATTCTGCAATTTTGTAAACTTTGTTTAACGTAGAGAACTTACATAACAGCCTGCATGGTATAAAACATGGAGAATAAGAATTATGACTATGAATTTAGTAACTCCGTAGTAGTGGTAGTAGCAGCAGCAGCATTAGTAGTAGTAGTAGTAGCAGTAGTAGTAGTAGCAGTAGTAGTAGTAGTAGTAGTAGCAGTAGTAGCAGCAGCAGTAGTAGTGGTAGTAGTAATAATAGTAGTAGTAGTAAATAGTAATTTGTTAGCGTTAGTAAAAGTAGTAAATTAGTAATAACAAAAGCAGAAACAGTAGTAGCGACAACTGCAGCAGCAACAGAAATAGCTGCAAAGGCAGTAGTGGTAGTAGTTGTAGTAGTAACGCTAGTATTAGCAATAACGACAGTACTAATGCTAAGTAATAAGGATTGATTATTCCAATTGAACTTGCGTCTTGTTACTAGTTTTAGAAATAATAATTATCTAGAAATAAAAACTACTCTTTATTCTTGAATAAATTTGAAATTTATAAACGATAAATAATGATAAATAAATTCGTGAGATATTTAAGAATTTAAAAATTTAATGACGAAATAAAAATGGCTAAATCTGCAAAACAGTCAGCTGAATGCTCCGCTGAAGGCAAAGAAATATGAATTGATTGCAGACCCGGTGAGCACCTACATAGACGATAATGGCAACAGATTTGCCGACAAGTAAATTTTTTTTCATTTCCATTCCTCATTCGTTCTTTCGTTCATTCATTCGTTCGTTCATTCATTCACTCACTCATTCACTTATCATTCGTTCGTTAGTTCGTTCATTCATTCACACACTCACTCATTCACTTATCATTCATCCATTCGTTCGTTCATTCATTCATTCGTTCATTCATTTTCCGCTGAAGGCAAGAAAATATCACTCAACATTCATCATTCATTCATTCATTCATTCACTCATTCACATCACCAGATCTTCCATGTGCTACTTTATCTTGGACAACAACCTCTCTCCGTCCATGCCGATTACGGACGCCAGCACAGTGGCCAGCATCATGAATGGAATCAATGTGTCCAATGTTGACAAATTCGCCGAGGTCAGTCTGCGGTTTTCCATTTCTCCTGACTACTATATCTTTCATACTTTTCATCTGTTGTGTGTGTATTCACCATCTGTCACCAATTCATCCACCTACACATCTTCACACGCCTACACACCCATACATCAACAGACACCACACACACACACCTTACACACACATCACATTCAGACAAACACACACCAGCACACACACCACACACCAGCACACATACCAACACGCACCAACACGCACACACCACACGCTTTAACACCCACAGAGTTGTTTCCTACGCCGAAACCTGATACACACTCCTATACAAACACACACACCACACACGCACCAACACACCACACTCACACGCACCAACACACCACAAACACACACGCACACACGCACATAAACACAAGTAATATGAGTAGTAAATTTAGTAAAAATATATTAAACCGCAAAGTTAGTAATGAAATAAAACAAAAATTTTTCAAATCAAAAATCGCCTGATTCCGCGCCAAAAATGAAGAAAACAGAACTTAAAAATACACACATATATATACACACACACACAGAGTTGTTTTTCACGCCGAAACATGACAACGAAATGGTGGTCTGACAAGTGGTTCCTCTGGTTCATCCTCATCGCGTTCTCCATACTCGTCTTCGTCGTCGCCCTCATCCTGTCCTGCTGTGTCTGCTTCTACTGGCCCATGTCTGTCTTTTTCATATTTATTTGTTCTTTATTTTTATTATAATATTATAATTATTATATAATATTATATTTATAATTATATAATATTTTAATTGTTATACAATATTTTAATTATTCGTTACCGTCCTGTTTTAAAAATATAATTCTCTTGAAATGTTATCTACACTTAATCTTAACTTGAATTGAAATTTCTAAATGGTACATATATTATAATACTATAATTATATAAAACTAAAATTATTATATAACAATTATTATTATATTATAATTATAATAAATATTATTATAACTAAACATTTTCCTCTTTAACAGGAACGTGAAGAAAATATCGAAAGCGAGGCCATGTAAGTTTTGAGCTTATAAACTAACCCGTCTGCGCTAATTATTCTTAAAATTATATTAATAATTATATTCAACAATTATTTATAAATAATTATTTACATAAAAAAGGTTAAACGAAAAATAATTATTTGACCTACATAGATGTCGTTCTTGACGATAGGCCCATGTCGGCAGCTGGTTCTGTCTTCGACTACGGAGGATGATAGAGTTCCACTGACCTACTTTCTGAAGATCTGATTGGCTGGCTCTAGTATTTTCTGTGGAATTTGATAATGGAATGATTAATTGGTTGATTGATTAATTGGTTGATTGATTAATTGGTTGATTGATGGATTGATTGATGAACTGGTTAATTAATTAGTTGTTTAATTGATTAATTAATATAGATTGATTGATTTTGAACCACTAATCTCAATGTTTTATCTTCACTGCATGTATAGACATATCTGTTGCAATACCTTTTTAAAGTAAATTTACCAGAAGCACATACACGCATATACACACATATACACAGACATTCACACACTCACACATACATGAGTAATGCTAATTCACAAATACGCACAAACATACACACGCACACACGCACGCACGCACGCACAGTCACATGGGCTTGATCACTCATCTCATTCAATATTTTCACATTTGAGACCAGTTATTTTTAGTTTTAATGTCTGATTTGTTAAATTCTTACAATCATTAATAAACTCCACTCATAAATTTAGTTTCATTCATTTTTACAAGCGCGTTTTATATTAGATCTGTTTTTCTTCTGTCCATCTATAAGTTATTCCTCTCATTTATTTATTTATTCATTCACTCATTCATTCATTTTTTCATCTGAAAAGTAATTGAAAATGAAAAGATATATTGGTTGGTCTACCTATCAATTTATTTGTAAATCGAACAATTGTTTATATATATATATACCAAAAATAATTTAACACGTTTCATTTAACCAACTAATTAATGGGCAATTAATTAATTAACGGAGTAGTTAATTAATTAATCAATTAACTGCCCGGAACTTCTCACATTTTCCATTTTGTTTTGATAACTGCTTAGTTTTCTAATTGAAACATTCCAAGGGATGATAATTCACAGCGTCGTTTGACATTTCATGGTAACAGGTGAACACACCAAACCACACAAATACCAAATTCCATATATAACACTTCACGTTTGTACTACTGGCTTATACTCGGTGCTATCTTACTACGCTAACAAAAAATTCAATACTCAAGATGTACCTACCCTAAATTTAGTACACACACACACAAACTACAATAGTAGGATACATTTGATGTTGGTACACACACAGTAGCATACAATCCGAACCGTATACCATCTATCATACAATACTTAATTCTAGTACAATGTAATTCTGAACAATCCGATCTTCCAAACTTTTTTTAAATTATGTTAATTTTAGTTTAAACAATTCACTCAACCCCCACGGCGTTCAAACATATAAATATACATATGTATATATATACTTCATGTATATATATACAAACTTTATATATATGTATTTATTACAATGTATCTAAAATTGTTATACGCTTGATCAATGCTTCTAATTCTTATAACTTTTTTAAACAAATAAACACAGATGTCGTATGATTTTTTTTAAAAATAAATTGATAAATTAAATTCCTAGCACAAATATTGACACCAGAGCAGGGTTTGCAAATCGTCTGTGAAAACGTCATTATCATCATTAACGATTAAAAACAAACCAGCCAGCCTAGTTTATTAACATAATTAATGCCAAGCTCGACCAACACCCGACCAATAAAATGAAGTTGGCGTCATAAACTTTCTCACAGAATCAATATAAATTAAAATATGCATGTGGAAAGAAATCACGAAACGTGTAGCTAATATTACTGATGTCAATCGATTAACCGATCAATCGATCAATCAAACAATCAATCAACCAATCGATCAATCAATCAATCAATCAATCAATATCTGTAGTGGTCAGGCTTGTATGGGCCCTCGATGGGAATTCCCAGGTATGCCGATTGTTCGGGGGTCAGTTTGGTGAGTTTGACTCCCAGGTGGTCCAGATGTAGAGAGGCCACTTCTTCATCCAACTGTGAAGATGGGTGGATGGATGGATTGATTGATGGCTTGACGGATGGATGGGTTGACTGACTGATGAAAACGTCGCACTTTTGTCACGCAAACACAGCAACACAAACAACAACAATAGAAGAAAACAACAACAACAACCACAACATGATGATGATAAATAATGGCAACAGACGAATATGATGAATCATGAGGTACTTTTTTAGGCAAGAAATGTACACCCAGCGGATAGTGAGATGTCCTCGTCCACAGTTCGATCTGCGCCAGCACCTGGTTGATGACGAAGTTGGAAAAAAGTTAATTTTGCTGATGTATGACGGTGATGGTGGCAAGTTTACAGAACATGATGACCAACTCTAGCCAAACAAGAGCCAACAAACATACAAACCCCGAGCTAAACAAACCTGATTAGTAAACGAGTTACTCATAACGAAACTCGGATGCCCCATGGCACAGCCCAAATTGACCAGACGTCCCTCGGCCAGTAGAATGATGTGCCTGCCGCTCTTCAGTGTATACCTATCCACCTGCGGCTTCACCGTCTCCCTCGACACCGCATTCTCATTCAACCACTTCACGTCCACCTCAATGTCAAAATGACCTGTGGGTATGTGCGTATGCGTGCACGTGTGTGTGTGTATGTAAGTATGTGTGACTGGGTGCTGTACGTGTGTGTGAGTGAATGTAAGTATATGTGTATATGTGTGGTGTGTGTGTGTGATTAAAAACAGCATCAACAATGTCCAAATAACACAACACAACAACATTAACGCAGAAAGAGAGAGAGAGAGACACAAAACAAACAACAAACAGATGTACCAATATTGCAGACGATGGCATCGTCGAGCATGTGAGGGAAGTGGGCTCCGGTGATGATATCCTTGCAGCCTGTCGTCGTCACAAAAATTCGAGCCTCACTCAGTGCATTCTCCACTGTCGTCACCTCATAACCTGATGACGATAGTGTGGTCGTCGCGGTGATAATGATGATGAATCAAATGTATCATACTGGCGATGATGCGGTGATTGCAATGACATGACGATGATATGATATGATGAAGATTGATGCTGCCATTCAACACAACAACACCCGACCTTCCATGGCAGCTTGCAGTGCATTGATAGGATCAATCTCACTGATGATAACTCTGGCCCCGAAGGCTCGGAGGGCAGTGGCACAGCCCTTACCCACATCTCCATAGCCTGCAACCAGAGCCACTTTTCCTGCAAGCATGACGTCTGTTGCCCTTTTGATTCCATCTACCAGGGATTCTCGACAGCCGTACAGGTTGTCAAATTTGCTCTGCCCATAGTAGATGGTGATGAAATAAGGGCATGGTATGATTATAACATATCACAATGTTATGCCCCCCAAAATTAAAAGAATAAATAGTAATAATAACATTGAATAATAACAATAATAATTATATAACATAAATATGAAATAACAATAATAATAATAATTATTAACAATTATTATAAAATATAACATAAATACGCAATAATAACTAATAATTAAAATATAATATAACATAAATATACAATCATTATAATAGTTATTAGTATTATATAACATAAATATGCGATAATAATCATAATTAATAATATAACATAATTATCGTCACCTTAGTGACGGAATCGTTGACGTTGATGGCGGGCACCTTGAGTTGGCTCTTGCCGAGCATCTTGTAGAGGTTGTGCACGCCCGTCGTCGTCTCCTCCGAGATGCCCTTGATGCCTGCGACCGACCGAGGATTGCAAGCGACAAAGATTTTATTTTCAAATTATTTTAAGATTTTAAAATGGAGCAAAAAATTATAAAAATCTCACATTTAAGAAAAAAACGCCGCATCATCTCAAGAAAAATATATTAGAACTTAAAAAAATCAGAATAACAACTGGGGCTTGAAAAACAAAAAAAAACACATGTGGACCAAATAGGACAGAAGAAAAAAATAAACAAAACACTCGAAAACCAAAAAAAGACAAAAAACAATACAACAAAAAAAATGAATGAGCAAATGAGACCAGGCAGTAGCTCTGGATGTTTCTCATGAACGATGTTTGTGAGGTCTCCACCATCGTCGAGGATCATGTTCAAGGGCTTGCCATCGGGGAAAAACAAGGTCTATAATAGAAGCATTATGTTGTGTGTGCGTGTGTGCGTGTGTGTGTGTGTTCAACTCAAGCATGCATATTTGAACAACACACATACCTGCAGAAACACTCACACACATGCAAACACATACACAAACTCACATAACACACACAGAGAAACAAACACATACACACATACATAGATGTACACACACATACACACACAGACCTGTTCAATGCACCACAAATATTCCTCATCTGTCTCACCCTTCCAGGCATAGCAAGGTATGCCACGCTTTGCAATGGCAGCTGCAGCGTGGTCCTGTGTGGAGAAGATGTTGCAACTCGACCACTGCACCTATTCATAATTTTAATTTATATTGCACATTTATAATTATTTATGATTGATTATAAATTATTATTTATAAATGAATAAAACTGGTTGGTTAGTTGATTGATTGCAATTTATGTATGCATTTCAAATTAAAACAAGTATTTTACTAGCAATTATGTTCATTAAATAATAATAAGCGTTCCCTTGGTGGCAAAGAATAAAAAGAAAACAAAGATATAAATAAAAATAAATTAAAAACGCAAAAGAAAAGGTGCTTAGTTAATTTCTAGCAGTTAGAATTAGATTAGAGTAAGGATTAGTGTTAGTTCACTAATTTCTGTACCAACCTCAGCACCCAATTCAACGAGGGTTTCGATGAGGACAGCAGTTTGAACCGTCATGTGCAGACACCCAGCTATCCTGGCCCCCTTCAGCGGCTTCTTGGTACCATAAACCTTTTGCATCATCATCAGACCCGGCATTTCGTTGCGAGCTATTTCAATTGCCCTCTCGCCCCAGGCCGCCAAGTTGATGTCAGCTGGAGGAATTTCATGATGGTGAACGAAGTTTAATTTCAATCTAATAATTTTATTTAATTTAATATTTTAATTCAATCAGAAATGGCGATAAATTGTGGTCAAGAAAATATAAAAATAATAAAATAGTGATAGTGGAAAATAGTGATAACGAATGGTGATGATCTTTTTTTATTTCGTTTCACGATTTCGCAATTAGAGATACTAATCAACTAATTTACAAAAATTTACTAACCAACTTTGTACTTTGGCTTTTCATCACCGACTTTAGCAGACATTTTTCAAATAAATTAAATTTAAATATGAAAGTTATAAAATACAATGGAAATATTCTTATTGTTTGGAATAAATTAAAAATAAAAACAAGTTTTAATTTTAAATAATAGAAACTTGAACGAGGCAGACGAGCAAAATCCAGGCCGAATAAAACCTGGCAGAGAGAGATCGCTTTAGCGTGTGAACCTATATACAAAATTTAAATAGGTCAGTTCAAGTTATGACCTAGTTATCAGATAGCTAAAAACCCGAGTAAATTTAAGGTAAACTTTTTAATTAACATTTGTGATTTCTTTTTTGAAATCAATGGAGTATTGTTAAATCTGATTGTGTGTGTTGTGTGTATAGTATAACTACAAATGATGTATGTGCCAATGAAGTTATCTACTTAACTCTAGCCCGTATAAAAAATATAGGTAGAACCATTGAATTATATAATTATATAGTTATATAATTCCATGGGTAGAACTATGGAACATATTCTATAAAAAATATATTTTTTATATATGGTGTAGATAGAATAATGAATTATTGTTAATGTTATGTGACTATTTGGATGTCTAATCGAACACAACTAATTTGTTGAACCAGTTTTAATTTGAGATACCGACTACATTAATTTTTGTTAAATAATTAACAAATTAAATCTTAAACACAAATCAATGTATAAGAAGCTATCTATTGCGATATAAATATTTCCATTCCGTTTCATTGAGAAAACACCTTAAAATAAATATAAGACGTTACGACATGGTTTCGACAGGTTTTTGGAATAAGTACATTGACGGCAAGTCTCTTGAAATTTTGCAGCTGTTCTAAATGGCGATTTATAATATTTTTCGTTCTAAGTTAAGGTATAGATTTCATGTTGGTCAATTATTCCGAGATAAAACACCTCAAAAAAATATTGACACATAATTAAATTGTGTAATAAGATAAAAAAAACGCAGAGTAATCCATTGAATTATATAAATCCATGGAGTAATCCCAGTTTTTCCAACTGAGATGTCGATATCTAGCACAAAGAGTTAATGTTACTATTACTACGCTAGTGCTAAAATACTTAGTTTGAAAACAAAAATTACCAAAACGAAACAAATAAAATAAATAAAATCTATTGTAACTTTTCTTTTAAATCATTCCAGAAGAGTTCTTGTCTATTTTCGTCGTTTTCACACCATTCCAAGCATCTGTCATCGCCACCATTTCCCATCAAGATTCTCAAACCTTTAGGTATCTTAGTTGGGTCAATTTGAGGATCAAGCAATATTAGAAGAATTCCGTTGCGACTTTTGAGATCATACTCATTAACAATCCTAGAATGAATGCATAGAGGAACTTCAAAATCACAATGACGACGATCATTTAAATAATCCTCACTTAAGCAGATTAAAATCTTAGCACTGCAAAATATCACATCTTGAATAACTGTTATTACGTTTGAGCCTAGTGCCATCTCGTCATAAGTAAAAATTCTTCTAAAATTTGGTCCAAATTCACGCAACTTCGGCACAAGAACATTAGTAACCCAGTTTTTATCTTTTTCATTTTCCATATAAGAGATTAATAAATCGTAGTTTGTATTAAGCAGATGCTGACGTTCCTCATCATCAACTTGCCGTCTCCTGAGGCATCTCCTCTTTAAAAGATACCAATTAAACCTTATAACCCATCTGTACTTGAAAAGTACTAAAAAAATAGTAACAAGAACAACTGCTAGTACAATTATGCAAACAATTAAAATGTAAACCCAGTTGCAAAATGCCCAAATTGAATAAGGATCAAAACTTAGAACAGGAAAACCCGACAGCTGATTTGGGGAACTGCACTTATAAGACTTCAAATTGATCAACTTTTTCTCTGCTGTTGAGATGTTTAATATATCAATCCACGATCGAAATTCTCTCAAGTCACAAGAACAATCGAATGGATTACCTTTTAAATCAATTGATGCAGATGCTGGCAACTTTAGTAACATTGGCACATTAACAGTAGAAAATTTATTATCAGATAAATCAATTACTTTTAATGAAATGGAGGAAGAAAAAGTTAAATTGCTCAGAGAAGAGAACTCGTTTTGCTCTAAATCTATGCTTTGCAATTTTGGCAAATGTTCAAACAGCTTCGTAGTCACAAAAGGCATTTCATTATTATGCAGATCTAGTTTTTCCAGAGAAGACAGCGGGTCAAAAAGACTAGAACTTGAATCATTAGAAAACCATTTTCCCAGTTTATTTTCTGAAAGGTCAAGGACCATTAAGTTCTGTTGATCCTTAAACAACGATGATGCTAAATTTGTGCACAAATTCTTACTGATGTTTAAATATTTTAAGTTGTGCAAATTTTTGAACAAATCATGTTCTGAAAATATTGTAGTTATTTTGTTATTACTCAAATTTATATACTCTAAATACGGGCAATCGGAAAATAACGAAACGGGAAAATTATTTCCTCCAATTTTATTGTAAGAGAGGTCGAGAGTTGCTAGATTATGCAATTTCATGAAGGAATCCTTTACAACCTGATGTATTTTACAACCTTTTACGGTTAAGTTTACAAGATTTGTTATTCCATCAAACATTTCTGGACTTAATCGTTCAATCATACACTCGGAAACAATTAAAGTTTGCAGATTTGGTAACTTCAATTGAGAAATTGATGATTCTTTCAATTGTTTATTTTTGGAGAAAACTAATCTTTTTAGTTTTAAGCAGTTTTCAAGAGGATCTTTAAAATCTGCAATGTTACTTTGACTGAAATCTAAAGTTTCAAGCATGGGAAAGTTTCTAAATGTTCCATTTTCAATTTCAAATACATCATTAGAATCACAATGTTGTAGCAGTAAATATCTTAGAGTAGATTTAGGAAATGAATCAAACGTGTTTCTATTCAGCTTAATATCATTTGTGTTAAATATACCAGAAAGATCCATTGAAGCTAAACTTTCACTTGAATTTATAGATTCAAAAATAGTCTGCAAAGTATTCCAATTTAATTCTTTGCAGTATGCCAGGCTGATTGACTTCAACTGATTAAATTTCAGGGCACCTGGAGTAACAAGGCTGAGCTTGCATCTTGATAAATTCAACTTTGTAAATTTTTTTTGATTAACACAAGTTAGGTCATGTAATGTTATTTCTGATATGCCAGCATTATTACCTAAATCAAGGTTTTCCAAATTTTCAAAAGCATTGCTTGTATTATTTTTGCACAGATCTGCCTTTAATAGTTTGTTATTGTTCAAGTTTAACTGGACAAGTCCTTTCATAGTAACAGAAGCAAAGTTTGGAATTTCAACCAAATCATTATTTGTCAAGAACAGCTCTTTCAAAAGGCTGACATCTTCTAGCACCTTTGCTGACAAACTTGTCAACTTGTTTGTAGTAAATGATAGTATCTTCAAAGATGATAAACCATAAAAAGCCCCATTAGCAACTTTGCATATGTGATTATTATTTAAGTATAATTCAGTCAAATTTGTTAATTTCTCAAAAGATTTATCTTCTATGCTTGTTAAGAGATTGAATCCCAAATACAAAATTTTAGTTGAAATGGGAATATCTTTAGGAATTGAGGTTAAGTTCCTTCCCTTGCAGTTAACTGTTGTCAGATAGCAATCACATTTCTCTGGACATGTTACTGCAACAAAAAAAGCAAGTCACATTGAAACTGTAAGTGAAGTTTTAAAAATAATATAAAAAATTAAAATTTCGTTTAAAATAAAAATACCACCATTTATAAGAATTTTAGTGTTTTCTATACTGTCAATCAATGCTAAGCTGAAGAAAATGATAAGAGATGGTAACATTTTCAATTCAGATTAAAATTCAACAAGTTTCAATTATTAAAATTAAATCAATAACTTTTCAGAGAGTTTTTATAACAAAATTAACATCAAATTATCATGTTTTATTTTGAATTAGGTGTTTTTGTTAATAATCAATTTAAAATTATAAACTATTTTCAGCGCCTTTGTAGGTCTCTCTAGTTAATAAGTTACTAAATTAGTCATATACATATAAAATAGATAGATAAATACTATCTATAAGATAGATTATTATATATATATAGATTATAGATTATTATTATATTATAGAAGACTACTTCTGAATGCTAATTATTTATTCAATTTATTGCTATCAAAGTCAACAAGATAAAAATAATTATTAACAATTGTCGTGACAAAATTAATTATGTCCTTATTATGAGAATACACGGAGCCAGCAGGCAAAATACAACTGCCAATCAAGCTGGTAATTAATTCGTCGGACTTAATTGCCCAACAAGCAATTAGTTAACGAACATGAAAGTCGAATTTAATGGAAAAACCCAGATGCATAAAATTACCTGCTTGAAAAATGGTGACGTTTCAAAATTTTCTAACGCTTATTATTTGATGAATTTATACTATTTTTAAAGTTAAAATTTATTTAAGAAATAAAACAATTTCTTTATTATAATCTAATTAATAAAACTATAAAAAAATAAAAATTACTAAATTAGACTACAATACAGTATTATATGGTTGCGTGAATAAGTTAAAAAGCTATAAAAAGCAATGAAAAAAGTATAATTTTTAACGCATTACAGTATTTAAACAGTTTAAATTAATTATAAAACAAACCAAACCCAATTTTTTATTTAAATACTGCAAAATATTGATTAATCACCAAATTTGAGTACCTGACCATATTTGGTGAAGAGCTGGAAGAACTCGTCTCACAATTTCCGGCATCGATGAAAATAGAATCACGGAAGTTTATAAAACTCCTTGCTCGGTTCTAGATTAGTGGTTAGCTGGGGGCCCAGGTGGGATTAAAAAGATTTCTCCCGTCATTCTAATATCTGAATTTTGAATAAATTATATTTTTTATTCAATTGTTGCAACGCTAAAAAAGATGTCTTATTCGTTAAGTTAGTAATTAGTTGGTTCCTGTTTTGTTTTTGATGTTGGTTTTTTTTCATTTCATTATTTATTTTTAAAATTGTAGTTAATCTGCAAACTGAGTGCCTCATGTTAAAATTTGCAACTATACGATATAAAAATTTAAATCAATGAAATAAAGCATTTTATTATATTTAATGAAATATAAATGCTCTCTTAGTTAACTCACTCTCACAACTGAAAACTAACTAAACTAATCTAATCTTACTAATGACTACTAAACTAACAAAACAAATTACAAAACATTATTTTAGAATCTACTTTTGCTACTCTGCCGAAGACGGCCAGGGGCGTACCAATCGTTTTGGGAGGCGACCCCAAAGGGAAAAATTTTTTATACTCTAATGGGAATAGCATCATCATCAGACACATTGATGTAAGTACTTGAAAAAGAGATTGATTTATATATTATACTGTAAATGCAAATATTACAAAATGAGCAACAAAAGTATTTGTTTTTTATTACTGAATAAATATAACAGCTCATTATTATAAATGTTATCTACATTCTCTTTAGAATCCTGAGCAAGCAGATTTGTACACAGAACATTCGCAGCCAACGACAGTTGCCAAATACTCACCAAGTGGCTTCTACATTGCTTCTGCTGGTCTGTTTACTACTTTTTTTTTCAATTTGTCAAATAGAAAGATGTTTGGATCTTATATCTTTGGTTATTTCACAAAGATGTTTGGATCTTTTATCTTTGGTTGTGCCTCAAAATAAATCATATTGATACATCAAAATACACAGTGCATCATTTCTGAAATCTTTTTTGCAGATATAACAGGCAAGGTAAGGATCTGGGACACAACTCAGAAGGAACATATCCTGAAGAATGAGTTCCAACCTATTGCTGGTCCCATCAAGGATCTTGCATGGTCCGGGGACAGCCAGAAGGTCGTCGTCGGGGGTGAAGGCAGAGAGAGGTGGGTTGTCCATGTTTTTGTATTGGAGCCAAATTTAGTGTATGTAATGTTTGTATGAAAATGTAGAGATGTCTTCAGTTTTTGTTATCTTTATCTTTTGATGATAACAATTATGAAAAATGGTAACAATGATATTTTTGGAGGATACTAGTTTAGAGGGGAAAAAGATGGAGTGACATGTAATCTTTCCACATTTCCTTCCTAGATTCGGGCATGTCTTCTCAGCAGATACAGGAACCAGCGTGGGTGAGATCATGGGTCAAAGCAAATCCATCAACTCGGTCGACTTCAGATCTAGTCGACCTTTCAGGATCATAACCGCTAGTGAAGATAACACTGTCGCATTCTTCCATGGACCTCCCTTCAAATTCCAGTTCACTATTCAGGTTTTTTGGCAGAAGGAGAATTTTCTATTTTTATTATCCTAGTATCATTTTTTTATTTTTGTTTTTTTCCATTTTTCCAACAACTTTATGTGTAAGAAAGAGTCTTTGTAATAGTTTTTTCATAGCTACTGATTTCATATATTTAAATCTTTGACAATCAATCAATCAATGTTCGTTTTGCATCCAGAGACCCTGTTCCCTGAGGTAGGACGTAAATCTTCGATGTTTCTTTTAATTTGATATGTCTATAGCAACTGACCATTTTAAAATGTTTTAGTTGGAAAATATTTATTCATGGTTTCAAATTTATTTTATAGGTTCTCAAAACATCACACACACACACAAACACACACACACACACACACACACACACACACAAGGACAACACAGCCAAAAACACAACATACGAAAATACAAAATGTCATACTAACATATTATGCACATACAGTCAGCATACTCATATATACAAATGCATGCTCTCTCTCTCTCCCTCCCTCTCTCTCTCCCTCTCTTTCTCTCTCTCTAACACACACGCACGCACACGTGCAGGATCACACACGTTTTGTGAACTCAGTGAGGTATTCACCTGATGGAGAGCTGTTTGTGTCGGGTGGAGCTGATGGAAAGGTTTGCTTCATTTTATGTTTCTTATTGAAACATTATTATTATTATTATTATTATTATTATTATTATTATTACTATTACTATTACTATTACTATTATTTCAATAGGAGAGCCAAAAAAAGGAAATTAATGTTTGTGGGGAATAAACGACCCTTGTCATAATTTTAAATAAATGATTAAATAATAGCATATATACATAACTACTCATAACTGTAACATGATACATACATACATATAAAGGTTAAAGGTTTCTCTCTTTTGCGTTTGCTTCAGAGGTTTCAACGACAAACACACACAGCGTACACGAATACGCATGCAAATCACGCATCATACACATTGCATATGATAGGCGGGATCTCTTTATATTCGAACCCAGTCATTGTAATAGCAAAACCAGGCGCCTTTAACCATTGAGCCATCAAGCCGCCCAATGTTTGATACATGTAACGACTTTTGTATTGAATTTTGCATGTTTCATTATTTACTCAGTGCTTCATTTTTGATGGAAAAACTGGGGAAAAGAAAGCAGAACTCGGAAACCCTGCTCATAAAATGGGAATATATGGGGTTGGTCCTATTAATGGAGTTCAGTCGTTCATTTGTTCAGTCGTTCATTCATTAATTTATTCATTCATTTAATCCATCATTTTATTCATCTATATAGACGACCACCTATCATTCACTTTCTTTTTTCATCCATCCGTCCATCTAACTACTATTTTTAAATTCATTTATCAAACCCTCTATCATTTTAATTGTTCATTTACCACTTCATTCATCTTTTTTCATCCATCCATCCATTTACTCATCCATCCATTCAATCATCCATCCATCCATCCATTCAATCATCCATCCTTCTATCCATCGACAACTTTGAAGGTTACCTTCTCGCCTGACAACAAGCAAGTTCTGACCATCTCAGGCGACAAGACGGCCAAAATCTGGGATGCGACTGACCACTTCCTTGTCAAGTTTGCTAATTAAATACTGATATTGTTCATTATAATTAATTATTCTAATGTCATTATGCTTATCTGTCTAATTATTATTCATCTTTCATCTCTCAACCAATTATATTTATTCCTGTTAACTAATTAATATTCATCCCTCATCTCAACCAATCATCTGTTTGTATTAGCTAATTAATATTTATGATTCTACCTTTCAACCAATCAGGGAGTTTGTCCTGGGAACTCAGGTTGATGACATGCTGGTTGGCTGTCTTTGGCAGGGAAATCACATCTTAACTGTTTCACTCTCAGGTCATCATAAAAATAATTAACTATGAATAATTATTCTGTTTTTATAATTATAGCACAATAATTTTTTCTATTTATAAATTCAAAAATATATAGACGAAAAATTTATTACTAATGTCATTGGCGTCATTTATTGCTATTGTTATTTTTGTAAAAAAAAATGTTTATTGTTTATGTGTGAATAGTTTTTTTTTTTTTGAAAATTTAGGCCACATAACCTACCTCGACCAATCGAATCCCTCAAAACCACTGAGGATCATAAAGGGTCACAACAAGCCAATCACAGCTCTTGTTTTGAGCAAAGATAAGAAATATGCCTTCACCGCTAGCTTTGACGGAAATATATGTATGTTTTCTATATATATTTTTTTATCATTTTGGACTATTTTACATATGCATGTCATAAATGGTAAAAATTTTTTTTTTCTAACTAGGTCGATGGGATGTATCAAATGGCCACTGTGACCTAATTTCGGGAAAAGGTCACACCAATCAGGTCCAAGACATCTGCATTGACTCGACCCATCTAATCACGTGTGGAATGGACGACATGGTCTTCTTCACTGACCTAAATAAGATTCCTGATTGCGGGTTAGCTTAGTTTGTTTATTGCGATTGTTCAGTTGGCTTGTTTTAGGTCATTTTATCATTTGTGATTCTGCTGATTGATTGATTGACTCTTTCGTTCATTCATTCATTTGTTCATTCATTCCTTCATTCTTTTGTTCATTCATAGTTACCAGTCCTCAGTGAAGATGACCTCTCAACCTAAAGGAATAGCAGTTGGACCTGATGGAACTGTTTTTGTGGCTTGTATCAAGGAGGTTGGCTTTTTGGCTGAGTTGCTTGATTGGCTGGCTGGTTGATTTAATGGTTGGTTGGTTTGTGGCTGGTTGATTGATTGGTTAATTAATTTGGTTGGTTTGTTTGTTGATGCTGTGCAATTGCTTCAGATCTGTTTTTCTACATGCAACTTTAAAAATCCTTTTCATCTAATTGTCCTATCCTCTCCGTCACATCACACACTCTTCAGAATGTGCAAAATCAGTTTTATGCCAAATAACACGTAACACAATGCACGCACATTTAAGATGGCTCAAAATTACTCTAAGATGAATTTGATTGAAGTAGGTAAGGGTACAACACTGCTACCGTTGTTCGTGAGCAAACTTCCCAGCCATTCGGCATCTGGTGACATTTTTTATAGACTAATGAAACTAAACAACGAACATTTACAGATAGCCATATTGAAGGATGGGAAGTTGTTGCAGAGTTTGAAGGCTGATTACGAGCCTCAGTGTGTGGCCATCAACGTCGCTGGCACTGAACTGGCCGTCGGAGGAGGTGATATGGTCAGTTTTCTACCTTTTACATTGTGTGATGTTTAATGTACCTGGCTATGCTGTTGCAGTGGCTGCCTTCAAATGCAAACTTCTCATGTGTGTGTGTGTGTGTGTGTGTGTGTGTGTGTGTGTGTGTGTGTGTGTGTGTGTGTGAGTGAGTGATGTATGAATCCTTGCATATTCACATGAGCTGCTTGTTTGTTGCTGTTAATTTCTCTGAGAAACTCTCAAAAGAGAATTGTAAAAAAAGATGTTTTTATTTTATTATGTCGATACCTTACTGCATCTCCTGTATATAGGCTGGCCCAATGAGATTTTCTTCGGGCCTCCCAGCAATTATCTGGTTGTTGAATAAACACCTTTATTGTTTTGTATTGTTTTGTATTGTTTTGTTTTGTATTGTATTGTATTGTTCCTCTTTACAGGACAAAAAAGTGCACATCTTCAGCGTATCAGGTAGTTGCAAACTGGAGGAGAAGAAGGGCCTGGAGCATCATGGCTGCCTCAAGGACATCTCATACTCACCAGATGGAAGGTACCTGGCTGCCTGCGATGCCTTCAGGAAGATACAACTCTACGAACTGCCTGAACATAAGGTCTGCGGTGTGTTCTTTGTATGACTACCTGCCTGGTGTGTGTGTGTGTGTGTTTGTGTGGGTTGATTACATGATTGATCGATTTTATATGTATGTCTGACTTATTAAATAAGTATTTAGTAATTGATTAACTAATTATTAATACTACTTAGCTGAATAATTGGAATAATTTACAGATAATGGTAATTAGTTTGTAATTGGAAATTTATTAGCAGACACTATCTGGATTGTTATTTTTAGGAATGTCAAAATTATTATCAATCATATCCCTACCATAAGGTTCTCATAACGTCAGAATGGGGCTACCACACGGCTAGAGTGAACTCGATAAATTGGTCTCCAGACTCGAAGCACCTTGCCAGTGGAGCTCTTGACACCCACTGCATCATCTGGGACCCGAGCAGTAAAACTAACTACACTGTTATTAAAGGTTGTTGGTTGTTGTTTCAGTTGTTGGTAGTGGTGTTGTTTGTTGTTGGTGTTGGTGTTGATGATTGATTGATTAATTGGTTGGTTGGTTGGTTGGTTGGTTGGTTGATTGGTTGGTTGGTTGGTTGGTTGGTTGGTTGGTTGGTTGGTTGGCGTTTATCAGGGTTGATGATATTGTGGTAGTGTAGTAGTATTTTGCATGTATAATTTGGGGATAAAAATACATACACACCACATACACTCACATACACTGACTACATATACACGTCACATTTGCATACACACTCCAAACACACACTCGTACACATGTATACCCACCACACGCACACCACATGTATACACACCACACGCTCGCACACACATGTACACACACCACACGCGCGCGCGCACACACACCACACACAGGAGCCCACCCACAAAGTCAGGTGACCAGAGTTGAGTGGGTGGACAACAACACACTGCTGTCCGTCGGCCAGGATAGCTGCGTCAAGCAGTGGTCAATCAAGCACTGAAGATTGGTGGGTGGAGGAATTAATGAATGAATGAGTGAGTGAATGAATAACGTAATGATAATGATGTCATGCTGATGGTCTTTGATGGAAGATTGGTGATTGATGAAGCACTGAAGATTGATGGATGGAGGAATGAGGAATGAATGAATAACGTAATGATGATAACATCATGCTGATGGTCTTTTTTCATTTGAAGGGATGAAGATGAAGGAATGATAATGGTGATAATAAATGATGATGAAATATATAGGGAATGATGCAGTTGTTTGTGATGAGTTGAATTTGTTGACGATGGTGGTTTTAATGATGATGATGATAATGAAGATGATTGCTTTTCAGATATGTATGTAGCAGTTTTGTATTTACATTCAAAAGCAACTCATATTGATGGTGATAATGATAACGATGATGATGATGATGGTATCAACTTAGGTGTGTGTGAATATTTTTCTAATTGTGTGTGTGTGTGCGTGCGTGCGTGTGCGTGATGCAATTTTGTATTTTTATATACATAACAATATTGTAATATATAAATAAAATATTATGAAATTTATTTATTATTGTAATTTATTTTATTGTTGTTTTGATGATTATAACTGTGCGTGCGTTTGTGTGTGTGTGTGAGTGTGCGTGCGTGCGTGCGTGCGTATCTGTGGTTTAGTTAAATGTGTTGATTCAGTTCTTTTTTTCTAGTTTTGTTTGAAATTTGTGTTTGATTTTGTTAGCTAGGTTTGCTTCCTGATGTCGTTACCATAAGAAGAAAATATTCCCATACTAAGAATGTGTTTGTCTGTTGTTTCGAATGTCCAATAAATAAACAACAACAACACACGTTTAGACGACATTTTCCCCGAGATCGGGGGTTGCCGTTTGGCTACCTATGATGAAACCATTGTCACTTCTGTCATCATAAGTAATTTATTTGGCTAATTTTTACGCAACAACAGTTATAAGCGGTGGGCCTAGCCTTTGATGATCCAACATCACTCACAAGGCAGTGAGGGTCAGTTTAATGTCATAACCAGGACAGGTCCAATAAATAACTGTACTGTTAATTAACCTTCTAAGAAAACTTTGAAGCATCAATACACAGCTGATAATTTCTATCCTTTTTTCCTGGCAATTTTTTTACTAAGGATAATTTAAAATTTTATTTCTGGGTTCCATAATGTTCTAGTACTAACATGCGTGTCTGTTTGTGTGTGTGTGTGTGTGTGTGTGTTTGTTTGTATTCGTTCATATTCACACGGTTTCACTTCTAACTTCATTTTTACGCAGCTTTATAATGTTCCTCGTCATTTATGTGTGTGTGGTGTGTGTGTGTATTTTTGTATGTGTTTACTATTGTACTTACTGTTTGTATGTATGTGTGGTTTGTGTTTCTTTAATTTATGTATGCTTGTTTGTATGAGCGGATTTATTTTTGGATCAGCTTATGTTTCTTGTCTCTGGCATGTTATGGATTATAAATTTGATAGTGTTAATTTTTCCACACATTTAGCGAAGTTTATTTTACGATGCATTATTATTTTATCTAGATGAAAATTTTAAAAGATGGTAGGAAACACTGATAATATAATATAATATTAATTATTACGTCTGTTCGTTTTTAAATTAATATTGTTCAATTACTAATTAATTATGGCTCTAATAAATACAATAATGAATTTTAGTATTAATAGAGTTTGTTAATAATTAGTTAGGAGTCAAAGCGGTTCGTACAGTTTGTAGATTATACCATGTAGGGCTAATCTAGGTGCTAAAAAATCAATAACGCAGATGTTTAAGAAATGTGTGTGTATTCTGTTAAATATATTGTCTCAGAAAATATTAAAAAAATTTTTCGTCATTTTATAGTAAAAATGGTTGGTTTAGTTAGTTGGTTCTCTTTGAACTTTGAACTCGAAGTAAGCGGAAGTCGTATAAAAATCACCGTATACACCATACAAGATCTTACAAGAAGATGCAAACAGCCACTACAAAATAAAAGTTGGTCACGGTCAGTTACATTCAGTTATAAATCGCCATTTATCTGGCTGGCCTCAAAATAAAATGAAGTTTCTGCCCATGATATACGGCTGCGTTTTATACTTAATATATTAACTGGTAAAGCGCAACAGTTTGAGGTGTTTTTTTGGGGAAATTTTTAATTCGGATTTTTATTGGTTTTATTTAGTTAATACAAACAAAATAATGATAAAATCCTAATTTAATTTTGTTGAAATTTTTAGCCCCGTGAATCTAACTGGGAGTATCCAACGGAAAGTTCATCGCACTTGAAAGTTATTGCAGTATCTAACAGAGAATATTAAATAGAGGGTATATTAAATAGGATAAGTTTATCGCATTTATGTTGAGGACTCTTTTAAAATCGTTTGATATACCGTTGGAACACATTTTGAAATTTAGATGAACTCGTTTAATGGATCATTTCTTAAAATTCAACGCTGCATTGGTAACTTATGTGCAAATTATCTGGTTAATTTTATTATTTTAAATAATAGTTTTATAAATAATAGGTTAAACAATTTTATACTGTAATAATAATAAATTTTTTAAAACTATTTTTATACAATTAATTACCGACTTATGTTGAACAGACATGACAAATTATGATTCACGCTTTCAATCCGTTCTCAGCAGAACTAATGCACTTGTGTTTTTACCATAGATGTCTCGACGAGGCTGTTATTACATAGAGACATTTGTGGTTTTACCAGTAATCAAGTAAATGAAAATGTAATGGTAGATTGTTCTACACCCTGAGGCAGAAAAACTTTTTCACCAGTTACCAGCTGAGTCGGAGGAACACTCAGCAGGTGCCTGTCATCAGGTCCAAGTCCAATCAGTTTCGGTTTGGCAGAGATTTGCTCACTCAGATATTCAGGTGCAGGTGCAAATTCATTTTACACTTTGAGCACGAAGGCAGAGATCTTATAGATTAATTTTTTCTTGATTAGAAAAAAAAATATCGAAGAATTGTTGTTATTTAATCAAATTTCATGCCTCCAACAACGCAACAATCTTCCTGGCTTGATTTTGGATCGGCAGCAATTTAGAAATTGACTTATTTAACAGGCTGTGAAAAAGGCAGTCACATAAAAAAGCCGAATTTTTGAGTTTATGAAGGATTGTGTCAGAGATTTCACTTGCTACGATCCAACAAGTTTTCAATTAGTCTGTCCTCATCATACGAAATAGTTGATTACATCCCTAGTCAGTACCTTAACATGTAGAACCATGATCTATTGTCATTGAACTATCAAATACGTTATATCACCCGAGTTACGCAGAGATTTGCATAAATCAATAAAACAGTTGTTGATTATAATTGCGTCGCACCGTGTTGAACGAACCGCGCTTCGCCAGTTGCCATATAGGACTGTATCATTAATTTTATCGCCTTTTTCATAATTGTTCCGCTCGTTTTCATCATCATCATTATTATTGATTGATTTATTATTATTATTGATTGATTTATTATTATTATTATTATTTGAGGAATGTTTAAGGAAATATTACAAGTCTTCAAGCACTCAATCATCACCTACATAATGACATCTTCCACGAATCTCGCGCCAGATTTCGTCATAAGTATAAAATCATTTAATCTCCGATGATTTACCACTTTGACCAATGGCGTTACGATATTTATATGACGTCACGCATACTTGCATAATTCATATCGTAGGCCAAAATTTTGCGAATTTTTTTTGTAATTTAATTATTCTTGCTCTTGAGAGAGTGAATGTGAAAACTGCTATTTTTATTATTTTAGTTGTTTAAGTTGTTGTTTATCTTGCTGCTGATATATTGTTATTTAGTTTTTATTTTTATTATTACTCTTTAAAAAATCATGTTGTTCATGTTGATGTGTTGTTATTGTTTTTGTTGCTATTGTTGATGTTGACTATGTTGTTGTTGACCATGTTGTTGTTGTTGTTAGTTATTGCTGTTACTATGTTATTGTTGTTGACTATGTTGTTGTTGTTGTTGTTGATTATGTTGTTGTTGTCATTGATGCAGTTTATGTTTTCTACCTTGAATTGTTGTTGTCAATATGCTGCTACTTGTTTGTGTTGTTAAATTCTAGTTTAACATTCCTAAATATCTGGTATGGGTATAACAATTTTGTATAGGCGTGTACTCGTATAACATTACTGTACAATGCAGCATTACTACACAGTACAACGTCACTACGCAATACAGTACTACAAAATTTTAAATTATTCATAATAATATTAACACAAACGTGTACTACAATTGAAAAATTCTAAAGCGCGAAATATATTATGACGTTAATCTCTTTGGTGGCAGGTCCGTTACTTAAAAAACGGAGCTAAACAATACGATTGTATAATTATGAGTGCAGAAATAAATATGTATATATACATACACACGCATACACACACATGCACACACATATACAAAATATATATATATCATATATGTTTATGTATATATATATATATACATATAACTATATATATTATTGGAGAATTTATATAGCGCCCATTAATATTTTTCAAAGGCGCATGTATACATGTATATATATATATATATGTATATATATATTGTATATGTATGTATATGTATATATATATTGTTTGAGACAGTTTGTTGTCAATGTTAAGCTGCTAGTTTGTTTCAGCTCGGCGTAATTTGCGTTGTATTGGTGTCACTTGAATTCAAGTTATAAATAAATTGATTAAGGTTAGATATAGTTGATATATTAATAGAATCATTTTATTAATTATTTTGTTGTTGTTTTGAAGTTATTATTTTCTACTCCGACGTGTGATTCATTCCTTATTGAATACCTTTTTTTTACATATTTATTCGATGATTCATTATAATTATTAAGTTATTTGTACTTTCAGTTATTTTCATCTGCCAATCGATACCCCATATATCTTCTCATCTCATTATTCTCATTATGTGCATTTGTATAGCGCTTTTTATAAGAAAAATCCTCTCAAAAGCTGTCAGAGTATAGGACAGATGGAATGGTTACCAAATAAATATATTAATTAACTTTTATTGATGCTTGTTCTTTTAAATTAAAATATTTCCAAATTCAACGGAAGTAAATTAACTTAAAAAAAATGCGTAAATTGGAAAGGAGTGAATTGGAAAGGAGTGAATTGATTACATTTAGATAAAGTAGTAAAAAATCTGAAAATTGACTGACTATGAAGATATGAGGTTATAATTATATAAAATTTAATAACTGACTCGATCTCGAGTCGTGTCGGAAAAATTAAAAATCGCTCGCTTAATTATTGTCTGTTATCTTCCTTGATTTTCTAATCAATCAATCAATCAATCAATCAATAAATCGATCGGTCAATCAACCAATCAATTGATCAATCGATCGATCAACTATTCAATCAATCAATCGATCGATCGATCAAATAATCATCATAATCAATCAATCAATCAATCAATCACTCAATCAATCAATCAATCAATCAATCAATCAATCAATATAGTTACTTCCTCGAATTTTGTCATTTATAAATAAAGCACATTATTTCAATCATAGACGTTCTTGCTACTATGAATATTGGTGTCAATCACAATCAATTAACAAATCAATCATTCAACCGATCGTCCTATTAATCAATCGATCAACTAAATTTATATAGCCTAAACTTCTAACAATTCAACTAGCTCAACCCAAAACTTGCAGAACATACAATTACGAATAAGAAGTGCAATAAAATAAAATAATTTCCTAAGGTTGAGTTTAATGAATATATCTTCATTTTTAGAAGTGAATTCTTGTTTAAGTTGATTAATTTCCTCCGTGGCTGCTAGGCAATTATTAGATAGCTTCGACCGTGGTGGGTTCCATTTAGACTTGAAGAATCTTCTATATTCAGGTAGATTAGGTAGTAAAGTTTTTATTATGTTTTTATTGTTGCTAAAAAAAGTCGTTAAATTTTATGTCCCTAACTAATTTATCAATTCCTTCAGTAATCTCGGATATTTTCATTTTTTTCGGTGTGTTTTAAAACCCAAACCCTTACCTAGTAGGCCAATTTGGTCCTTTGCTAGGTTGTATTCCGAAAGATTAAGAATATTTAGAGGGCAACGCTCCCTTTGTGGGCGCGTTATTGTGGCGAGTTTTTTTGGTTTTTTAAGGTACAAGTATTCTTTCTATAGGCCTCCATGAAAGTCCTTATGCACGTGCATTCGCTGTTATTTCTGCACTTGTTGTTGGTGGCCGTTTGTCTTTTCATGAATTGACTTCGCCTCTTCTCTTAGGCTAGTTAAATTGTTTATACATTCATCAATGCGTTTTATGGTCTTTGCATCTTTAGTTGCCTTGTTCTTTTTAAGAGGATTATTCTTTTTCTTACTTCATTGATGTTGTTTGTTTTCAACAATTCATCAGCCGTGATAATCATATTGTTCTCCATATTTTTTATGATGTGTTCCAGGTGATTCATCATTGGAGATCTAATTTCAGTGTATGTCTGTTCAGCTTTTGTTTTTATTCTTTAGTCCAGTTGTCCAGTTGGATTAATCCTCTCCGTCATTTTCTTCAGGTTGCGTTACAAAGTAATTGCGCTGTCCTGAGTCCATTTTTCTTTGTGCCAATGGGTCTGGACATATTTGGGTTAGGGTTAGGGAAATTAATAAAGCAAATATTTATCCAATATTTTTACTCAAACATCAACATCGTTAATGACTTTAACATCAACTTCCTTAAAGACTTTAAATAGACATAAATGGGATATGATCAGCCAAAATTTCGCGGTGGAGGTGGAATGATTTTTAAAAATTAAAAAGTTGATGATCTCTTCCTTTTGCCAGTTCCCGTTTTGATGGGATGATTTTCCAAATCCTTAAGTTGACAATCCACCTCATCGCATCCTTCCATAGATCCGTCACAGCAACTGGATTTGATTATATATATTTTTATTATTTTATTTACTAATTATTATTGTCATTATTATTTTATTATTCTTGTTGTTGTTGTTGTTGTTGCTGCTGTTGTAGTAGTAGTTGTTGTTGCTGTTATTATTGTTGTTTTATTTATTTTCTTTGTCGAATGTGTCTCCGGCCAAAGAGTTCAAAATGACTTGTCGCATTCGTTTCTCGCTTTTGTAACATCTTCTAGTCTCATTATAACTCTTCCAGTGCTTCTGCCGTGTATTATATATATATATAATACACGGCAATACAACAACAACCCAACCCAAAATTGCAACCCAACAATACAACAACTTTATGTCTTCTCTGGAAAATGACGCTAATATCCTTGATATTGACAACCTCAAAAAACATATTCAGCAAAAATATAATACATATAACTCTACAAAATTGCAACCCAACAATACAACAACTTTATGTCTTCTCTGGAAAATGACGCTAATATCCTTGATATTGACAACCTCAAAAAACATATTCAGCAAAAATATAATACATATAACTCTACAAAATACTTTAATTAAATTATATGTTTAAACAATATTTAGGCTCTGAAGATGGCATTACGCCGAAACAGCGCTGTTAGCTTTATTCCAGTTTTAGATAAATATGAACTCAAACAATACCGCCTCGTTGAATGTCTTATAAAGAAGTTAATTAATGCAAAATGAGCAAACAATTTCAATGAAATTTGCATTTCTGAAAACCTCGTTCCTAAATATATATATATATATATATATATATATATATATATATATATATATATATATATATATATATATATATATATATATTTCTAATATATTTATGTTCATTTATTGATGGATAAAAAAATGTATAAATATGTGAGGATGTGTAAGTTAATTTAAATTAAATTCAACAATAAATTCGTTTTTTTTCGACAGAAGATGTCGTCTACAAGGGCCGGAAAGTCAGGTTTGGCTGCCGAAGCTCAGAAAAAGGTAGGCTGTCCTATGAATGAGTGAATGAATGGATGGATAGATAGATAAATGAATGAATTAATTAATGGATGGATGAATGAATTAACTAAGAATGAATTAGTTAATTAACAATTGATTGAATGAATAAGTGAATGAATAAATGTTAGGATGAATGTGTACAATATCTTTACATCTTCTTTATAAATAAATGAACGAACAAACGAATGAATGAATGAGTGAGACCAGATATTGGAACATCAACATAACTTGGTATAGATGACTAATATACAACATGTGTACAACATGTGTGTGTGTACACAAGCGTTTTGTAGGCACACACACACCACACACTAAACTGAATCTTTCTCCATCCTCTAAACTTTACAACAATTTAGAAAAAGTCAACAATTAAATTAACTCACACTCCATCACCACTCACACACACACACATACATATATATATATATATATATATACATATAAACGATATATAATTAATACTTAGCTTAACTAATTGTCATTAATTAATGCATACCGGATCTAAGATCGACTGAATGACGCCTGGTTCATACACTCATTCATTCACTCATTCATTCACTCATTCATTCACTCATTTATTCACTCATTCATTCACTCATTCATTCACTCATTCATTCACTCATTCATTCACTCATTCATTCACTCATTCATTCACTCATTCATTCACTCATTCATTCACTCATACACTCGTTCATTCACTCATTCACTCGCTCACTAGTTGAATCAAATAAAAACCAACGGTACATCTAAGTGAATGACTTTATTGTACAAACACAAGTCTGATGACGCAAATAAAAAAGTCAACACAATTATTTTGTGTTATTTAAATTTGTTTGCGTGTATATATGTATGTATGTGAGTGTGTTTGTTTGTGTGTGTGTGTATGTTTGTGTGTGTATTTTTGTATGTGTATGTTTTTGTGTGTTCATGTGTATGTAGAGAGAGGTGTGTGAATATGCATGTGAGCGTGTTTGTTTTTTATCCGCGCAATTTTGCGATTAAGATAATGGTGGTAAAAGATGATAAATGATGATACTGAAAGATGATGTGAATGATTAAGGTTTCTTATCCTTCCTTCTTAAAAGTTGACGCCCCTCTAAATTTTTTCGTTATCTCTCCGAAGATTTCTTTTGTAATGAGACACCCCTACCTACCTTTTTAATGTTCTTCCATTTTTTTTTCATAATAAATTACCCCTCTTTTCCTTCAACCTCTCAGTCTCTATCCTTTTTTTATGCTTTCAATCCTCTAAGTTATCTATCAATAATTTTAAATTAAATCGGAATCTTTAACTGAAGTTTTTTCTTAATGTCTCGCTCTTTCTCTTTTCTCTCTCTCTCTCTCTCTCTCTCTCTCTCTCTTTCTCTCTTTCTCCCTCTCTATCATTCTCTCTCCATGACTCATCAGCATTCTTGTCGCTAACGACTTGGTTTAAAATTTTTACAATACTGTTGATTGATTTTAGTGAAGAAAATTGAGAAATTGAGAAGAAAATACTGTTGATTGATTTTAGTGAAGTTAGATGAAGAAAATTCTTAAAATAATAGTTTAAATTTTGTGTTTCATCTGCGATTGTTGCTGTTTTACAGCCGTCGCCATAGCTACCACAACCACTACCACTACTACTACATTACTAAGGCTGTTTCATTACTACTGCTACTACAGTGCTACTACTTCTACTAAACTTAAAGATCTCCAACCAGCTGTTGATACTGATACTATCGCAAATATCTGTCCATTGAAACATGATAGGTATGCTAATGTAGGTGACTGCACTTTGGTGGCAGACAATGATTTAAGTAGACCGACTTTTATGAGTGGAACGTTTTATGGTCATTCATTTATTCATTCGCTCAGTCCTTCATTCATTCATTCGTTTATTTAGCCATTCATCTATTCACCCATTCGTTCATTCAATCATTTGTTCGTCTATAATTTTTATTCTAAATAGTTAAATGTTTTAGACTAAACACGATTACATAAAAATGCACGCAATTAATAAAGAAATAAAAATGTAATTATTCTTACACAACACTTAAGCAAAAAAAATACCGACAGATTGAAGCAAATTTCGATCCAGAAGAGGCTACAAAATGTTTGCACTGGATCCAGATGATCACACACGTCCCAGAAATCCCATCAGATCCCTCACAAATCGACGGCTCCCACGACAAATTCTACCAGCTCCTTGGCGATGGAGTCATCCTCTGCAAGTTCGTTCATGGCTCGAATCCCATAAATTGAATGAATTCATATTTGGTTATTGCCGAAGTTTTGACATTCAAATTAAAAATATATTTTATTGAACATGACAATGCGTTTTTACGTTACTACAGACTCATTGATAAACTCTTCCCCGGCAAAGTGAACTGGCAAGATAAAAGTTTCCAGCCAGCCAAAATCGAAGCCATGAAGATTATGCGAGAACGAGAGCGCATAGCCACCTTCACCAAATTAGTCCAACAGTTCGGAGTAGCGGACACAGCCACGTTTCCAACGGAGTCCCTGCACGAGAAGGGAGCTCTCAACCTGGCTCAAGTCTGCGTCTGCATCAGGGCTCTCGGCATCGAGGTCAGTAATCTTGACTTTCTAAGAAGTATAACAAGTATGTGAGAAGTGGGTGAAAGTATAATTCCAATTTCTTAATTTCTGCTAAAACACCACAATTTTGTTAGGCTCAAACGAAACCAGGATATTCGGGACCCGATGGATTTTGGCCAAAGAAGCACGAAAAAAATTTGCGTGAGTTCAGTGACGAACAGTTGAAAGCCGGACAGAACGTGATCAGCCTACAGTACGGAAGCAACAAGGGAGCCACCCAAGCTGGGATGAACATCGGGAAGAGCAGGGCGATATTAGACTGACCAATTTGGAGCCATGCACGATGGGCCACGGAAATGAAACCAACTTGTTTCTACTCATTTCATTTTATTTGTATTCAATTAATTATTTATATAGTCAGCGACTGGAAATAGTATTTAATTTAAATCAAAAAATTATCTTTCGATTATTCAGCATTAAAACAATAAAGAGATTGTTTCTGAGGTTATTTATTCACATCACTTAATATGAAAACCGCGCTGTATCTGTCACAACAAACGAATAATGATAAATTCAATTGAGCAAAGATAAGTTCAAAAAACGTCCAACAATAACTAATATGAATGAAAAATAATTCACAAACAGCAGAACATGTGATGAGAACATATGATGAGAACATATGATGAGAACATATGATGAGAACATATGATGAGAACATATGATGAGAACATATGATGAGGAGTAAAAAATTAAACACGAAAGTGACGACAAAGAACGTGCAAACAGTTGAAGAAGAAGACATCACGGATGATATTAATATTGAAAATTTGTAAAAAAAAAGAAACTATTTACACAAGTTCGTATTGCATACGTCAGATACATGCAAACAGTTCGCCTGTCCGCCTCCTTGCAATTAAATATGAAGAAAAATTTAATATGAAGAAAGAAAAAAAACACGAAAACAGTTGTCAAATCTTTGCGATGGAAAAATGGAACTAACTCGGCTGTTTATCGCAACTGTTTGACACCATCTCTCTTACGTTACCCTAATTGTACGCGTGCGTTGAATCTATTGTTCTGACGAATTCTTGATATTATAAAATTTATAAATAGTCGCGGAGCGTGGTTGGATATGTACATTCGGGCAATCAATCGAATTACGAAATCAATATTCTGATGGAAGTGCGAAATATATTAATTAGATTAAATGGTGTAAAAATGTTTGTACATGTATAAACCAAATAAGACGATCAGTAATATAAATCAGTGGTACATGTTTGTGTAATTAACGGAAATCAGCTCAAAAATATTTCTAAATAAATTCAAGATAATTAAGCTGAATCGCAGCAACTTAAAGAGAAAATAAATCTGAATCAAATTCATGAATAAAAAATGTAATTAAAGCCATTAAACTATTCACAAAAAGTGCTTGGCACATGCCAAAATAAGAAAAAAAGAATTTTTGCATAAGATTATTGGTTAAAAATAGCATTTGAAATGTTAATCACCCCTATGCCTCTGATCTATTCAATTGGATGTGTATATAAAGCATAAGACGCACGCAGGTAATGCACAATGAATTAAGTAAACAGAATGCATCATGTACTCGATAAAATAAACTCAATCAATTCATTAGAATTAATAAACTATTATCGTTACCATCATTAATTTTTAATCATTTAATCCTATAATCAAAACAAAAAAACGAAAAACACAAAATAAAATTAACCAAAACCAAAGAAAAAAATGTTTTAAATAATACTTCTGAAAGCAAAAACTAAAAGAAAATTTAACAGAACAACTGCTCCATCGTTTTGGCCTTCCTCTCCGGACATCGGGTTTGAATAATTTTAGGTCTCTGCTCAAAGTTGGGCGGGTCGTCGCAGACGTGTACGATGATTGACGGCATGTCCCCAACGCCCGTGTACACTTCGTACGCATCACCTTCGGAGCCGTCGGGTTAAGTTGAGTGGTTTATTAAAGATGATTATTTTATAATGTAGCACAAATATCAATCTTAAGAGAACAATGAAAATGATTTAACGCAGTCAGACCTCCTTATAACGAACTTCTATACAACGAAAATCTTTGTATATAACGAAATTTATATACTGTACGGAAGTCAAAATGTATTATAACATTAATAGAGAGTTTAGAATAGAATTAAGTGCAGTCTAACAAATTCAATAATTTAAGATTTTGAAAACCGTCTACAAACTTTTCCCCATTTTCTCGATGGCTGCCAGTAGTTCGTGATTGATGACAGGCTTCTTCTCCAGTTGTACCTCCCAGCCAATCGGTGGTGAGGAGGGTGGGGAGATAAGGAAGAGGTTTTCTCGCGGGGGCAGGTCGAGGTATTGTTGCTGACATGATAAGATCGAAGGCTGGTGGAAAAAATAAATTAACATTTTAATAATTAAACAATTAGTTGCAATCTAGATAAAAAAACAGATCAGAAAAATTTTTTTTGCTAAAGTGTAAAGTTGCTACTGATTTGTTCATGAAATATATGCTTCAAATACACCCCAACTTGCTATTTTTTCTCGCATTCATTTATATAGTTGGGTCTCTTCAAGAATAGAAAATTTCATTAAAACAACATAAGCAACAAAGAGCAACAATGTGCAGATCAAAACATGTGAATTTTATAAATCACAGTACAGAAACATGTGTTTGTATATGTGTGTGTGTGTACATATGAAAATACGGTGCTCATTTGAAATTAACTTACCTGGACATAATAACAGTGTACAAGACTGCCTTCCAGCTTATAGTTATTCAGGTAATCAAAGCATTGCCGTGAGGTCTCCAACGAACTCAGTTCCACTCTGGCTCGTCTGAAACTTGATAAGTACTGAAAGGTGGCTAGTGGATCTATTTGTCTCACTAAACCTTCAAACTTCAACTGTTTGTTTGTAATTAGTATGTAATTAAAGTCCATTTTTTAAAAAGTTAAAAATTTTTATTTTTTTATTTTGGAAAAATTTAATTTTTTTATTTCAATTTAACAAATGATAGACTTTTAACCATTAATATTACTAATTAGATGTAAATGTTTCAATAAAATTATAAATTCAAAATCTTTTCATGAACAACTTTTAAAAAATCAAAAAGTTTGAAACACTTTTTCATCGAGCGAGCAAAAAAGTTCGTCGTATAAGTTAGTGACAATCATGATTTGACTTGGGGTGTTGATGTCATTTTTAATCAGAAGACTGGTGTCTATTAAGAGTTCGGACCCACACAAATCGTGCGCGTCTACGGAAGCTGCCTCGTCCAGGTGGCACAAAAGTTTGAGATTGTCTTCGTTGTTCACAATGTGGTGGTGGTTACCGTTTACGGCGTCTTCTTCGACTTCACCTCTTTCCGCCACTAATATTAATTTAGTAATTTAGTTTAGGTATTTTTTTTGGCTTTGGATTAAAATTGTTTGAAAAAAAATAATAAAAAAACAAAATTAAATTAAGACTCACTTTTAAAAAAAATTGTGATAAATTTTCTGGAATGTTTCAAACGTGGCCGACGGGCAGTAAAGGTAAAAATAAAAAATTTAGAATCAAAACAATTTCGAATTAAACTGAATTTGATAGCGTTTACTTTTAAAATTATGAGTGTTGGCAGGTTAACTGGGCTACAAATAAATGCGAACAGTGTGTTACTAACATACGCTACTTATGATATTTGGAATCACTTAATTTGGGATTAAATTAACAATTTTAAAGTTTATAATTTACTTTACTTTGCTATAAATTACTTCCATAAAATGACAAATGAAGACCCTGCTTTCAACTATGTGCCCATTCACATAATAACTATTGAAATGGTACATTCAGTAGGTAGGTACATTTCATTTGCACCATATATTATACCTACAATACACATATGCACATATTACAACGTGTCGTGTTCTCTAAATGTGGAATACAAATTAACAACTGGGTATAATTTTAAATCAATTTTAACAAGAATGATGATCCTATCGAAAGTTACTTCTGCCTCAGTAAGACAATGTATTCATATATAGAATAAAAAGACAACGTTCTAAGTGTATGCATAATAATTACATAACAATTATAGTTAAATAATAATTGAACTCTCATGAATTTTGTCATACAGAAAAGCTAAAAAATGTGATGCCGGATGTAATTTTACAAGGCTTCCATGACGTAACACAACAATATTTGCTCAAGCATGTTTCATCTCAATACAATCAATTCATATTACATTTGCATTGCCTAAAACTTATTCAAGTTCTATGGCACCATCGTCTCATAATAGCATTACACAGTATAGACTGTACTATTATTATAACCTACTATGATTTGACAAAAATATCACTTAAATATTTATTATTATAACGCAAACCTACGTCACTTTATTACTAAACTGTTACAGTTCGCCCCCACACTTGTCACACAATACCTAACATTTTTGTTACTATTTTGTATAAATGAGTTTATGACCATGCGAAAATTGTCAGCTACATCATCCATGTATAGGAAGGACATCAACACAGCAACACTTGAGAAACAAGACTTTTAGAAGTTTTTTTTACAAATTATTGTCAATTTTCAGATTTTAGCACTTATCTAAAAATAAAATTGTTCTTTTAACGAAAAAATATTATTTGGATCCTATAATTTACTCTATCATGTCACATCGTTCATTGGCCATAAAAAATCGTATGAATACAAATTAGAGCTTCTCTATAAGCTTTGACAAAAATCTGCTGTTTGAAACCTAGGCTCTATCTTACTTCCTTCTGTCCAAATTTTACCATTTTGGCTTTTGATACTAAAGTTGGAGATTGTCGATAAATAAGTTTTGTAATGTACTGAAAAAAAATTCGCAATGACTCATTTAAGCGTATCTATACTGACATTTGCAATTTCTTCGTTTAAATCCAATATCTTTATTAATTTTAAACTTCCAAGATTACAGCCAGATCAGAGAAAAAAATAAACCAAAAATTCAAAACGAATAAACACCTCCATCGCCAAAGGATAAAACTTAAATTTGTAATTTAAAAGAAAGGACTCCTCTTATGTTTTATTAATTTATCAAGTTATTCATGTGCTCCATAACGTTTCGAATCGATTAAATTGAGTTGGTAAATAAGTCAAGTCTTATCTATCAATTTGAACGTTTTATTAAACTCTTTCTCAACGCTCGGATGGTTGGACGCACCTGATTCTTGACAAATCATCGCCTAGTGTGAAGTAAAACAAAATCATCAGCCATCGTCCATCTCCGAGGAAATTTACGACGATGACATCATTAGCTGTTTTACGTCAGACCGTTCATGAATTGCGGACGAATCAAGACGCGCTGGCATCCGAACATTGTGGGGAGAATAATTTAGGAAGATGAAAGAAATAAAATAATGAGCTACTTTTAAAACGAGCAAAATAAATTTGTCACGTGCTATGCAAATTCTAAAAAAAAAAACGTCAACCCAAAATAACAAGACAAGACATACCCAACACTAACGAAAGGATAACACGAAAATGGGATGTCGAATATACTATGGTTGGATGAAACTGAATTGAACTGGATGGCAAACTCACTAACAATATCTATTTTAAATGTGAATGGCAATTTGCTATAGGCATTTTTTCATTTAATACAGATCATGAGCAATAATTAAACACATAAATATATAATATATTTAAACATAAATATCGCCCTTTTAATAACTCATTAAATTAACCGTTAATAATTATGACAGTAACAAAATTGACGGCAATAACATTTAATAACATCAACAACGACAACAACTATTATAACAGCAACAACAAGATTTGACAGCAACAACAACAATAACCGTTACAACAACTTGGTAAAACAACTATGATATCATTAATATTAGCAATAAAATTAATAACCATAAATATGTAATAATAATAATATAAATAATAATAATATAAGGCAGCAAAAGTCCTAGAGTTCGACATGTTCCCCGTACGGGCCGTCCTTAAATTGAGGAGGTACTCCATCTCCGGGGTTGTTCCTCTTGAAGAAGCCCTTCCTGATCAGCAGCTGGTTGCACCCCTCCCTGTCTAACTGGGTCAGGTCGACGGTCTAAACAAGGTCAAGTTGTTAAAAACGGTGGATTAATGTCATGAGTTAAAAAAATCTATTATTATGAAAAAATTTATAAATTGATAATAGACAGACAGACAGACAGAGAGACGGACAGACAGAGAGACAGACAGACAGAGAGACAGACAGACAGCTTACCTCAACCTTCTCATCCTGTGCATTAAGGAAGTAGAGATTAGGAGATGCTCCTGGGACACTCTTGAATTCAACATTGTGACTGTGCGTGCGTGCGTGTGATTGGATAAACGGCGGAAGAATGGGATGGGAGGATAAATAGATGGATAGACGTTTCAATTTTGCACGCGGCGACAAGTAGACGAATGGACGGAATGGTACATCCAAGAAATGTATTTATCAATACATGGCATGGCAGATTGGCGAGTTTCATCATTTTATGGTAGATTTTATTCAAAAGATATTCACAACGGTTAAGGATAATTCATTTCTAATAATATTTTGTTTGATATATCAAATATTTATTTGACGTATTTCTAGCATCGCTATCACTATCTTGTATAGTCAGATACAGATAAATAGCAATATCAAAGTATATATGCTTCAAATTACAGATCATAAGAGCATTTTGCAATAGACCATGACCAACTTGTTGACTCAAAGTTTTGCTCACTTATCAATCAATAACATCATGCATATAAAGTTACAGTGAAATTTGCAATAATTTTGATTTTTTATTTTTCAAATTACTTCTACCTACATACCTACTTACCTACCTACCTACAAACCCACCTGCCTACCTACCTATCTTTATGTCTGCCCACTAAATCAAAATAATTAAAAACAATCATAAATACATCTTACAAGCAAGCCATTTTTATAAACCAATGAATTGATTTTTTCTAGAAAAGCACACCAATAATAATAATAATGTTTAATAATAATAATAATGATATAGTATATTTTTCATTAACATCATTATCATTATAACTGAGTTACGGATGCAACAGATGTTATTAATAATGATTATAATGATGGTGATGATGAAGATGATGATGAAATGGGTGTGACTAGAACAACAGGTCTTAAGAACACATATTTGGATTACAACACTAAGCTGAGTTTATGAATCATGACAATCATTATAACAAATATTATCATTATTGTTATAAATATATTAAAATAAAAAATTCATAATAATATCTTAAATTTACTGATCCCGATTAGAAAAGCATTATGACAAAATTAAAATGGTTACAGGTAAAACTATAAACGCAACCAGTAAATTCTGTTTCACTAATTTAATGATTAAACAATTTTTCACTCTAACTTAATTTGAACCAATAATATATTTAAACTTATGAATAGCAATTTGGCATATTGGTCAAAGCAGCTGCCAAAGCAACTACGTTCTAATATAAAAAGATCTCCACTTATCCCATATAACATGTGGATTTTGTTAATGAAACTTATGAGAAATAATTAAAAGAGAATGACCTTTAACCCTTAATTTAATTAATTTGGACAGGATAATAATTTATGCAAATTTATGCCGGAAAGGATACAACAAAGGAATGTCATCAAAGATGAATCTCTTCACCTCTGGGTACCTGTTCAAACGTCATCCACTGCAGCTCTATAAAAAAAAATTATTTATGAAAGTGTTTTTTAATTTAAATTAGTTAATTCAAGTATAAAATAAATATCTTAAATATTTTTTAACAAACAAATTGAATTTTTATATTTTAATATAAAAGATTTAAAAATAACTTAGCTTACCTACAATAGTCACTACTATATAGTTATTGTTATAAATATAATATATATATAGTCATAATTTACATACTTACATTTGTAATGTTATGTAATCATTATTTATACATATATAATATAATTTATTTACATAGATATATATTAGAATTAAACAAAATAAATTAAAAGTTATAATTATATATAATTACATCAATGTAATTTGTAATAACATATGTCATAAATATAAATAATATATGATTTATTCATTATTTAATATCATTTTATTACATATAATTTAAACTTGCATTACGATTACATTTATCAAATTTTATAAAAATTTATTTATTCATTTTAATTTAATTAATTAAATATTTAAATTAAAAATAAATTTAAAACTTTTTTAATTTTAAAAGTTAAAAAAAACGAAACCTCAACCAAAGCCCTCATAATTCCCTTCTTCTCCTTAGGAAATTGAATTTCATCGAAGGCCTCATCTTCCTCTGCACGGATCAAACTGCCAAAAACTAACAAACTAATTAGGAAATAATAACCCAACATCTCCGACAGCACCATCATTTTAAAATTCACAAATATATTCAGATGTTTAAAAGTGAATCGTCGATTAAATAGTATTTCTTTTATTTATTTAAATGCCAACGTGTACTCGATGCATTGGCTGCTGTCGTTTGTGTTCTGTGTCTCTGTCTGTCTGTCTCTCTCTCCCTCTGTGTTTGTCTGTCTAGGTGTGTGTGTGTGTGTGTCTGCAAATGATGAAAGTTACTTTTATTGATGCAAAAAATGCAAATTTCGAGCTTATGTGCCACACACACATAGATTTATTCACCAACATCATGCACACACACACGAACACACACACACACACACACACACACACACACACACACACACACACACACACACACACACAAACACACACACACACACACATACACCACATACACACACATACACCATTATACACACACACAAAAACAAACACACTTGAACACACTATGAACAAAGTCAGCCAAAGTTATATAAATATATACGTTAATAGGTTAATTTGAAAAGTATCCATATAAAAAAATCAAATTAAGGCCAATGGCCTTCAAAACATGCCACTCCCATGCTGTTACATGTTTTGCTTCAATTAATTAATTTATTTATTAAATAAATACACCATCCAGAAGCGAAGAGATTCATTTTTTGATTTTGGCTACTGACATTGAATGCAAGTAATCAATATCATCCACAAATCTGACATCATTCAGGATTCTGTCTTCATTATCAACTCCGCCCATCGAGATTTTTCCATTTTTTTTTTCCTTGTTCATTTTAAAATGTTTAGTTCAAAGTTTAGAACGTTAATCACTTTGTTTAACTTTTTGTTTCATGTCCTGGACAACCGCTGAACAATATAGTTTCATTGGAATACGTTTAAATTTTTATGTCGCATTTAGTGTTTTTGATTTTTGGACATTTAAATTTTAAAAACCAAGTTTCTGGTTTAAAAATGTATTTCCTTATAGAAAAAATATTATTCGTTTATTTGCTCCTATTTGTAAACTGAATGAAAACACAACTTAATTTTATAAAATAAATAAATAAATTTAATTAAATATGGCGGACCAAGATTTAAAAAGAAAAGTCAGCTCGACCGCTGCCAAATCCAAATCGTCTGAATCTGAATTCTCAATAAGAAATGGTGTTAGTAAAAGTACATTTGATGACGATAAGAAAATAGAGTCCATTATGGAAGAAAAGACCACAAATAATGAAGATGGAAAAAATTTTAAGGACACAAGTCTTCTTAGTATTGATGATGTGTTGGAAGAGGTTGATGAACTGATTGATGAGTTTGACGACGATACGGATAACGATAACGAGGAGATGAGGCCTCCTGTTACGCCGTTTGCTGATGCTGATGCTCAGGAACAGGAACAGGAACAACCCCCACCGACATCCGGTTTCTATTTTTTATAATAATCACATGATATATTTCTTGAAAATTTTTAAAAAAGATAAAAGTATTACAGTCATTTTTAATTTTATTATTATTAATTATTATAATAATTTACCGGTATAATTTTTTATATTTTGAAAAATTTAAAAAATAAAATTGCAACTATTAATGTAAACTATTAATGTGAACAATTCTTGAAAATTTGTTTCCTGTCAGTAGCTGAAGACCAGATTTACAGGAAAAACATTGAAAATATACCTAAAGCTTCTTTCAAAAATATTAAATTATCCGAATCTAGTCAAAGGTTTTTTAAAATTTCTACAATTAGTTCTTTAAGTTCAATAGACAATGCAAGTTTGAGGCGAACAAAGAAAAAATCTATGAAACTAGAACAGGTGTCACATTTGCTAGAAAAAGAATCAGTAGCATTTTTAGATGATTTCGATATTCCTGACATCCCCATAGAAACTGATGAGGAAGAGGATGAGGAGGAGAATGATGAAAAATTGGTAACAAAAAGTTCTGAAGCATCCACAATCAGTCCAAGTTTTTCATCTTTGTTGTCTAAATCAACAGATTTGGAGTCGGTGTTGAGTGATGCAGATTTTTTATTTCGACCGATGTTTGGACCTCAAGATGCTGAAGTTGTAGGCAGACAGCAGGAAACTAGTGACTTCACATTGCTCGACCCTGACCACCCACAAATGGACAGATTCCAGGAAGCACTGAGAGAACAATATGAGAAGAAGAATGGCGAACTGATAATTGAGATGATGGAGGCGAACAATTGTTTAAAGAAGAAAAAAGAAGAAAAAACTGAAATGGCTCTCTACTTGAGATACCTACAAGTAAAAATTTTGCTGGTTTCAATTATTAAAATTATTATAACTAAACTAATTAGACTGTTACTGTTTGAACACATGCTGATGGTTTATCCAGGCAGATGTTGAAAAATCCAAATCCATCCTTCAGAAGCAGCAGACTGATTTTGAGGAAGTGTCCCAAAAGAGGAAGAAGGAGGATGATGAGTTGGAGGAAGCCAGAAGGATGTATGAGGAAAAGTTGATGCAACTGCAATGTGAAAATAAAAAATTGGAAAATTTAAAGGTTGTTGTAGTTGCAATGTTTAACATTTTTCAATTTAATGTTTTTTATTTACTTTATCGAACAAACAATAGCCGATCCATACAGGAATCAGTTAAATGTTATGATGTAATTATAATTATATGGTGAGGTACCTGCAAAACATCAACTGATACAACTCAAAGTTGCCAACCTATCAACCGACCAGCCAACGAATCAACCGACCGACCGACCGACCGACCAACCAGCCGACCAACCAACCAACCAACCAACCAACCAACCAACCAACCAACCAACCAACCAACCAACCAACCAACCAACCAATCAACCAACCTACCGACCAACCAACCAATCAACCAGCCATCCAACAGACCGACCAACCAACCGATCAGCCAACCAATCAATCAATTAACCGACCGACCAGCCAACCACTCTACCGACCGACCGACCGACCAGCCAACCAACTGACCGACCGACCGATCAACAAATGAAAATAATACCAACCTGATCCTTACTTAGGTAGAGTTGGACAACGTGAACACCCACCACTTGTACCTGGAGTGCAAGGGCAGTGCTCTGAGAGAGGACATCATGATCACACGCAGGTGCCTATCCCGAACCAAACAACTGGCCAATCAGGCCGAGGAGAAACAGCAAGAGCATGTTAGGATGATGAAGAGGAATGGTGTGATGGGGTGTGGCGTGTGGGTGTATGTGGAGGAATGTTGGGTGGAGGGGTGCAGGCAGAGGAATGTGAATATATTGGGTTTTTTTTCTGTTTAATCAATGGCATTATCATACTTGTTGGAAATATCATCACTGTCTCTTATTATGATAGTTGTCATTATTATCTTAATCTTAATTCCTGATCATTGATTGTGTTTAATTTATGGAGTCTGCATGCTAACTTTAGATTTATCAAATAATGAATTTATCTTTGCATGAAGATATTAAATACTTCGATTTACTAGTGCAGTTAGATATTTCAGTGGTTAAGATGTCTGGTCCTTTCTACTGTTGTGCAGTAATCGCGTTCGATTACAAAGAGATCCCCACTTGTCACATGCAATTTATGTGGTGCGTGACATGATACGTGTCGTGCTTTGTTGTCTTTTGTGTGTTTTGTTTGTTGACACCTCTGAATTTTTTAAAATTGAACGATAATTTAAATTGAGAAATAAAAATCGTTAAAATGAGTTGAATGAATATATTTAATTATTAATGGAGTCACAGGAATTGAAATATAATTATCCAGGACCTGCTGCTGACACAGTTGAACAGGAAGAAGCAGAGGATCGAGGAGGACATAGACGCATTCAACCTGAACATCGATGCCATGCAACTCGAGATCAAGCTGCTCAATGAAAGTATTTCCGAGGCCGCTGTCGAACTGGAGGTAGGTAGCCGAGTTAGCTCAGTCGGTAGAAGTGCCATGTTTAGCGCCGCTTTTACGCGATGGCATGGTTCGAATACTGATTGTCCGAAATTCAAAGACCACCATACGTGTAATGATGCGGTGCTTGCGCGTGCGTACGTGAGGTGTGTGTGCGTTGTGTGGTGTGGATAGTGTACAGCCTTTGTGGCACAAAAGTTCAAGTAAAAGTATAAAATAACATGTAAGCAGCTCTGCATTTTATAGAGTAGCATTATAACGAATGAAAAAAAGGTAGGTCTGTCCGTCAGTTGATTAACTGAATTGATTGATTAGCCGTGATCGATTAGCTGATTAATTGGCCGGTTGATTGAACCAATCATTAGTGAACTACCAATCAATCAACCAGCAAACTAACTATCTAACCAACCGACCGGCCAATCAATTAACCAACCAGCCAACCAACTAACCAACCAACCAACCAACCGACTAATTAATCACAGGCGGTTCAGTTAGAGAAGAAGAACGTGATGCAGCAGTGGGATTGTCAGTTGTTGATTGCCCAGAAGAAGGACGAATCGCATAATCAGGCCCTCCAAGTATATCAGTTAGTAGTTATGTATTACAACAATACTATAAATATAATAATGGTTATATAATAATATTATCAATTGTTCCTTACTTAATCAACTCTGAGACGCTTCCACAGCAACGAAAAAAACAATGAATATGATGAATGCAAGCACAACACACACACACATTGCACGTGATAAACGGGGACCTCTTACATTCAAAGCCGGTCATTGCGACAGCAAGAACAAGTGCCTTAACCGTTACGCTATAACAATATCAATAACAATATCAGTAATAATAATAATAATATCAATAGTAATAATGGTAATTTTAAGATATATATTATAACAAGAAAATGAAAAATTTTTCAAAATCCTCAAAACGAAAGGTCGATATTGGGGCAGTTGAAGTCGGAGACCTCGGCCATCGAGCAGCTGAACAAGGCCGTCAGTGAGGAGCAACTTAAGAATGCTGACCTCCTGATGGAAATGAAAAAGTCATTATTGGGATTTTTTTTATTCATTTATTCAATGATTTAACGAATGGGCGAATGAATGAATGAACGGCTGAATGAATGAAAGAATAAATGTGTAATAAACGAACGAATGGATGAATGAAGGAATGCTTAGAGGAATGAATAAGTGGTTGGCTGAGCTATTGATATATAAGAAAAAAATATACAGAATAAAAGATGACTCAATTCAATAGCAAACACGTATATAACTGGTCAATCGGTCGGCTAATCAATTAATCAGAGTTTTAAGCGTCTAAATGGTGAGACAAAAATTTGAAAAACATTTGAGCAGGGGTCAGTACACATCGAAGGTAATCCTGAAGATTATGAACGCCAAGCAGCCGGTCTTCCTGAACCTGCAGAGGAAGAACGCTAAATTTGATGCCATCGTCAAAGAAACGAGTAACGCCGTGGTTCTGTCTAACATCGTATGTAATTCTCTCTCTGTCTGTGTGTGTGTCTGTGTGTATCTGTGCGTGTGTATGTATATGCCTATGTGTGTGTTTGTATGTGTGTCTTCAAATAGTTCTACAAAATTCTGCTAATAATTTTCCTAACACCTGCCAGCAAAAGGAGCAAATCCAAATAAAGATAAGGAAACTGCAGAAGTTGTTGGACAAGCAGTTACTTGAAAAGTACAAAATAAAAGGTATGTAGCGTTATCAACAGCCTAATTAATTAATAATTTTTCATTTTATTATAATAATTTATCAGGAGAGATCGCGGAAAAAATGAGAGATGGAATGATGGAAGACACGGTGCTGGAGAAGATGGTGAAGCAGTTGCATCATGTGCAAACAAGTACCAGGATTTCCGTTCGTAGTAACTGTGCTGATGTGATAACATTGTGATAATAATGATAACAACGATAATAATAATAAATATAATAATAACAATAATAATAATTTGTGACGATGGCAACAATGCTCACACACGCGCACACACGCACGAACACAGGAGCAGCAAATCATCTATAAAGAGAGCCAAATCGCTCACTTGTTCGCTCGTCTCGGACGTCAGCAAATCGTGAACGACTCGCTGCAACGTCTGCTCTCGAAGCTTCAGCGACAGGTGGCCAACAAGAGCGAGAGTATAGCTAGAGCTAAATGTGAACTGGCAAGGCTGGAATCGTCACTCCACAATACTAACGCCCAGATGGTGCAGTTGCAGAAGAAATTGGATCGTCTGCTTGAACAGTCTGGAGTCAGTTTCTGTTTGTCTCCGTGTGTTTATGTGTGTGTGTGTGTTTGTATTTTTTCGTTTGTGTGTTTTCTGTTTAATCGTTTGCACGCGTTTGATTTTAGAAGTTTGCGAGTTTGCGTTCGTGCGTGTGTATGAGTGGTTGGTTTTATAGTCATTCTATGTTGTTTAGTGGTCGTAAAAATAGTAGTTGATAAGTTTTATTTTTTGCTTATGTTTGTCGAAATAAGTTATGAAAACTAGGTAAATAAACGCTTGTATCATGCCTTCCAGTTTGGTTTTATAGTTCATAGTTGTCCTATTATATAATTAATTATAAATAAATTCTATGAATGAGTGACTGACTGGCTGGCTGGCTAACTGACTGGCTGACTGACTGACTGACTGACTGATAAACTAACTAAATATCCATCGAATTGATTGATCTATTGGTCGATTGGATGGTTTGTAGGTTGGTTGGTTGGTTAATAGGTTGGTTGATAGGTTGGTTGGTTGTTGGTTAATTGATTAATAGATTGAATAAATGATTGATCAATAGATTGAATAAGTGATCGATTGTGTGATTGATTGGCTGGCCACTTACTGAACTGACCAGGGTATGAACGTCAACCCATTTGAACTGCAAATATCGATGCTGAACGAGCAGATCGAACGAACCAACGCGCAAATCAACGACCTAAGAAAAGTTTACACATTACGTCATGTTATTTTAAATTTAATTATAGGTGTAATATAATTTATTATAATAATAATGATAATAATAATTATAATACAAATGATTATGTATAAATATATAATCATAATTGATTGAGCGATTAGATTGATTGAATGAATGAATAAATAAATTAATAAATAAAATAAAATAAATAAATTGATTAATTAATTAATAGGTGTGGCTGGCGGACCAGGCTAATTTAATCCGCAAACTGAAGGATCGAGATAATGAATGGATTAAGATTAATGAGATTAAGAAAGAGCTGAGATTGATGAATATCAAAAAGATTAGAGTTCAAGGTCGTTGAAAGATTGATTGGATGGGGGATTGGTTGGTTAGCTGGTTGATTATTTGGTTGATTTATTAAGTGAGAGTGAGTGAGTGAATGAATAAGTGAGTGTGAGTGTGATTGATTGGTTGGTTGATTGATTGGTTGGTTGGTTGATTTAGTGATCGATTTAGTGACTGGTTGATGGATTTATTGTTTGGTTGAATAACTGATTGATTGATTCTTCAATTGTTTAGTACAACACATCAATATATTGTTATTAATGATTATTTAAAAACGGTCTTTAATGAAATTTGTCGTATTTCTGAATGCTGTCGTATTTCTGTCAACCTTATTTCTGCAAAGCAGGAGAGATAAAGCGAGAGGGAGAAGAGATAGCGGAAACGATAAGGTGCATGCGCGTGATGGATAGGGATGTGACCAAGCTGAACTGCATGATAGCCAATAAGAGGCTGACCTACTCTGAATCGCACGACAGTCAGAAGTTTCTACTCAACTACTTTGAAGCTTCTATCAAGGTGATGATTTATTAATTCATTTGTTCATTCGTTCGTTTGTTCATTCCATTCATTCATTCGTTCGTTCGTTTGTCCGTTCATTCATTCATTCATTCATTCATTCATTCATTCGTTTGTTCGTTCGTTTGCTCGTTCGTTCATTAGTTTGTTTTTCGAAATCTGATTGTTTCATTTACAGAATAGGCAATCAATTAATTGATATTTTTTGGTCAATCAATCATTTAATTAAATAATTAACCAATTAACTAATGTTTATTTCATGCATATTTATCGGAAGTTACTAAGTAAGCACTGAAATAAATTAACACAGAATATTCAGTAGGAACTTGATTACCCATTCACTTAACCGGCCAATCAATTTGTGAGTAATTTTGCGCAGTGAATTTAAAATGTTTCAAAATGATACGCGAAACGTCAGGAGGAGAAGAGTCGCTACTTCGATCTGCAGTTGATGTTCAATCGACTGCTGGATGAGAAGCAGGCTATGGTCGAGGAACTACTCGAGATTGAGTTCGTTTCTTTTCATATCACACACAAGTATCAGATTTACACACATACAAACACGCACTTACACAAACGCACTTATACACACATACAAAGACACACAGACACACGCACACAAAACAAACACATGGAATCAGGAAGCAGATTTTGTTATGGGAGCGCAAGGTTCATGTTGCCCGGGAGATGAAGGCCACCTTCGCTACCCTAACCTGGGTGGACGAGATCAACACTATGAAAAACGAGATATGGAAGATGGAGCAGAGGAGGAGTGTGCTGAAAAGGGAGATTGAGAAGATGCACAGGTGTCTTGAGAAGTTGGCCGTCAGGTTGTCTGTCTGTCTGTTTCTGTCTCTGTGTTTCCGTGTGTTTCTGTTTGTGTGTCCGTCTGTCTGTCTCAGTGTGTTTCTGTCTGTGTGTATGTGTGTCTATGCTTATGTTTTTGTAGGTTTTCTTAAATGTTTTTGTGCGTTTCCGTCTGTATGTGTCTGATTGTTAGTATGAGTGGGTTTGCTCGTTGCTGTACTGCGCAGTCATTAAGCCAGATATGTAGTATCATCATTCGCGTTAGACGTGTGCTCATTTATTTATTGAATAATGGAGGTGAATAAGTCTCCCTACTCGTCATGACTCTAACAAGATGATTGCATCTCACGTACGTTCCTGGGAAAATTAGATGAAATGTATGTGTACATTGTGCTGAATCTGAGGAAACTTTTTTGGTATTTTTGTAAAAAACAAAAAACTGAGGATGTTCAGTTTATTGAAACGAAAGACGTTGCATCGTGTTTAGTCACATTACTTTTTATGATCATATAATTTGTCATTCTTGGTGCTGCACGCTAGAATCACACGATGCAGTTCATCTTTCCATGGAACATTTTTTTGTGAACGGTTCATTTTGTCTGTTTGTACTGTTTGTAACGCTGTATAAGGAATAAAAATGAATTGGCCATCTGGAGGCGTCTGCTGACCGCCACACAAAATGGCAGGCACCATTTCATCAAAGATCTCTTTCAACAATTCTAGCATTACAATACAAACGTTGCATATGACATGCTGGAAACTTGTTACATTTGAACCCGGTCACTGCGGCAACAGAGGCAGGCACCTTAACCATTACACCATCGCACCTCACCTACCAGATTTCTTTTATTTCGTTAAGGAACAACTGATACTCTTGATAAAATTATAACAATTTGAATTAAAATTATTAAATATATATAATTATATGGGAATAAATATGGAATAAAAATGGTTGCACAATTGAGCGTACGTCAGTCGTACATACATACATTACATGCAAGCAGGAGTGTGGAGTTGTTAACGTTGGATGAAACATCTTTGAAGGCCAGACAGAAGGTTCAACTCTGCAGGGTCATCAATGATCTTCAAGGCAAAATGAGAGAGAATACTTTGGTTGGGTTTTGTTGATGTCATCTGTCAATCAATTAGTCAATTGGCCAACCATTCAATCAATCGATCGATCGATCGATCAATCAACCATCAATCAGTCAGCTAGTCAATTAATCAATCAATCTGTTGATTGATTAGTTAATAAGTCAATAAAAAAATCAATCAATTAATCAGAGAGTTAGCGGTCAAAACACCCTGTCTCATTTACAGGAATTGAAGCGTAGCAAAAAGGAGTTGGGGCGCTTGAAAGACAGCAACCAGTATTTGAAGGAGGAGATCGTACAGAGAGAGATTGAAATCAACAAACTGACCAACCTCATGCAATCCATGAATGAGGAAATTGCCAGCTGCAAGATCGATAAAACGCTGGTTGGCTGGCTGGCTGGCTGTTTGGCTGGTTGAATGGTTGTTTGGTTGTCTAATTAGATGGTTGATTGGTTGTTTGGTTAGATATTTGATTGGTAAGATATTTGATTGGTAAGATATTTGATTGGTTTATGGTTGTTTGGTTTGATGGTTGATTGGTTGTTTGGTTAGATATTTGATTGGTAAGATATTTGATTGGTAGGATATTTGATTGGTTTATGGTTGTTTGGTTTGATGGTTGATTGGTTGTTTGGCTTATGGTCGTTTGTTTCATGGTTGACCAGTTAATAAATCTACGTCAACTGTTGTAGTATATTATAATATTCTAAAAAAAATTTGTTGGCTGAATTTATTTAAATTATCATATACAAAAACGAAACCAACAAAAATTATCATCAACATTCAACCATCAAATAATCCGACTGTTCAAAATTGATTTAAGCTTGAAATGCAAACTAATCAATCATTCATTATTCAGTCAGTCACCAACGAACCAACCAACCAACCAACCAACCAATCACCTGACCATCCAGCCAACTAACCAACCAACCAACCAGCCAACCAACTATCCAACCAGCCAACCATCCAACCAACCGACCAACCAACCAACCAGCCAACCAAACAACTAACCAACCAACCAACCATACACCCGACCAAACAGCCAACCAACCAACCAATCAACCAACCAACTAACCAAACGACTGACCAACCAACCAAACACCCGTCCAATTAACTAACCAACAAGTCAACACGAAACAACAAAACGCAGAAACTGAACCTGACGGTAACGATGCAGACGATAAACAAAGAACTGTTCAAAATTACAGTCACGCCGCCCAAAGGTTCCAGTAACTTGGCGGCCCTCCAATACAAGACTCTCAAATCTGAGATGGACAAGTTCTCGAAAATGGTCATCGAGGTTTTGGGTCTCTATCCAAAATATTCGAGAGAGCTGAATGTCGTTCTCTATCTTTTGGAGTTAGTAGGCAGTGGGGTGGCTTGCTGTTGTCGTCTTGTTGATGTGCATATGTGTACTGCGTGGTATGTCTTTGTGTGTTTGTTGTCGTTTATGTGTGGTGTACTATGCTGCTGTTAATGTATTCATTTATTTATTCACACATCCATCTATCCACACATGCATCTCATCCAGTTCTCCATTAATAATGATAGTGCGGAACCAGGCGTCTACGAAGACACTTCTTGGAAATAATTTGAATTTCTGAATGGTGATTGTGGGTGGTGCTGCTGGATACGTCAACGACGACGATGATGACGATGATGGTGATGATGATAATAATTATGATAACGCCATTGGAGTTAGGAGATAATGATATAGATGATGCTTCCGTTAATAATGATATGATAGTATCACTGATGATGGTGATTGAAACTTAATGTTCTCCATGCAATAAAATTCGTTCCACATTGTTGCAATACTGCCAACAGCCAAATATATCCAAGCACACTCGAGTGCTTTCATTAACACATAAAACAACTGGCAATTTTAATTTCATTTATCTTCTGTTCTGTAAACTTTAAAGAATGTTCTTTGTTCAAATTTTATTTATTTTTTTTTTGTAAAACTCCAAATAAAAGACAACAAAAATTATTTTCACCGACTTCTATTTATATCTCCGCGTTTTTTAATGTCTGCTTTATTATTCAACCGTACGCTTATGTAGATATTGCATATCGAATTTGTGTGTTTGAGTACGCGCGTGCATGCAAGTCTGTGGTTATATCAACGTCTGTCTGTGTGAACGTGTGCGCGTATATTTCTACGTTTGTGTGCGTGTGTGCGCGTGTTGCTGGCTAGAGTTGGTTGATCATTCGAAACCTCGTTAGGTGCATGTTGACGAAGAACAGTGGGGCAATGAGATTTCAATGTTCAGTCGACAAGCAGGCTGACTGGCTGGCTGGCTGGCTGGGAATGCCGGAACCACGCACTGAAAGAATAACTCAAGGAACGAATGGTGTCGAAAATGTAGGGGCTGGAAAAGGAAAAAAACAACATAGTAGTGAGAATTAAAAATCAAGAAAAAATGGAACAAGACTGAAGATAGAGATACATGTTTTATATATAAAATGGTTGAGTGAGAGTGGTTTTTAGAGAAAGAAAATGGAAGTGGAAAGTTGCGCAGGAATAAATTCATAGGCAGTTGATTTTGTGATTGCTATGTCGTTGAGAGCAGAAGAGTAACATGTGTACAATATATCATTATATCATACTGCCTTTTTATTCTACGCGCGCGTGCGTGTGTGTGAATGTGTGTGGTATGTGTTTGTATGTGTGTGTCTGTGGTGTGTGTGTGTGTAGATCCGGTGCTTGTTGTCGTTGTCGCACGTTTGTTTGTTTATTTGTTTGTTTGTGTGTGTATGTGTAAGTATGTGTGTGTGTGTTTGCAAATTGTTTGTCCATGTAGGCGTATAAGTAGGTGTGTGTGTGTGTGATGCGTGTGTGTGAGTGTATGTATGTGTGCGTGTGATGCGTGTGTGTATGTGTGTGTTTAAGTATAGTTTATTTTTTTATTGACAAATTACTCCGTTTACACCACCGTATGCAGACGCCAGTTTTGTGATGCTGCTTTCACTTCTGTTTGTGTTAAGTAGCACGAATTTTTAAATTAATTATAATAAAATAATTTAAAATAATACAAATAAATTGTGTATTGTGTGTGTGTGTGTGTGTGTTTTATTGTGTGCGTGTGGGAAATACATTATACATAATACACACAACACGTGATACTTGCTGTTATAGTAAGTTACCTATTAGTAGCAACAACGTGTATACATCTCATTCTCAATTATTTTTCCATTCTTGCCCGTCTTGCTTTGTGTGTTTTAGAGAAGTGAGAAGATGATGAAGTAAAAAATAAATAAGAAAGAGAGAGAGAGAGAGAGAGAGATGTTAATGAAAAAAATCAGAATAAACGGAAAAAGAAAGTGAATTTGAGAGAGAGAGAGAGAGAGAGAGAGCGCGAAAGAAAGAAAGAAAGAAAGAGAGAGAGAGAGAGAAAAAAGAAAGAATGAGAGGAAAAAGAAAAAGAGGAGCGAGAGAAACAATGGCGTCGATGGCAGATAGATTGACAGGAAGACCAATTTTAAAACGGAAATGGATGAAAATGGATAATAAGATAAAATGAGAAGTTGAAAATGTGAGAGATGGATGAAAAATAAGAAAGTTAAAGAATGCTGGAGTAAATAAGACGGAAACAAAAAAAACCCGGATAAGATAGAGAGAAAATGAGAAAAAAATGAGACCGCACTTTTTTTAAGGCACCCGTTTTTTGTATAGATCAGACATATGGGCATATAACTGTATATCAGCGGTGAATGGGTTGTAATACTTTTTTGTATTTTGATCTATGTTTGCGTCTGTATGAGTTTGTGTGTGTGTGTGTATGTATGTATGCATGTATGTGTGTATGTATGTGTGTGTGCGCGTATGTGTGTGTATGTATGTGTGTGTGCGCGTATGTGTGTGTGCGCGTATGTGTGCGTGTATGTGGTTGTGATAAATTTGTTGATATATAAAGATTGTGAAATAGTCAGTCTTCAGATGGTGGATGGGAAATTAAACAGATATATCAATATATCACCTATAAGCTGCTCTTGAAACCACTCGATTACAGTCACAGCGTTTCCCACACTGCATGACTAGTTTACAACAGAACTTTTCAATTTTTCATTGCAACGATTCATTGCCAGTTTACTTAGTTCTGAAACGAAATTTTTTTTGAATCGTACACTTGATCCATTTTACACGGGGGGAAAAGTTTATTGGTGGTATCTAACATTTTCAGGGTACTAGACATAGTTTTCATGATATATATGACTAAAGCTCTTTGAGTTTTAATAATTCTTTATTGTTTTCTTCTCTCTCTCTCTCTTATTAATTCTTTATTGTTTTCTTCTCTTTCTCTCTCTCTCTTTCTCTCTTTCTGTCTCTCTCTATCTGTCTGTCTCTCTCAAGTAGTTTTTTTAGGTTTTTAAAAGTTTGTAAGTGTATATATTTGAGTGTGAATGTGTAATTTTGTTGCCAAGTTTATAACTGTTCGAGTGTGTGTGTGTGAATGTGCGTGCGCGAATGTTAGTTAAGAAATGTGCGTGCCAAGATGAAGTGGCCTCATCAATTGTGAAGCTGACTTTCACTAACTTAACGCTTGTTTACTCTCGTCTTCATTTGCACCACCACGGTGCATTGTTGTTGTTGTTGTTCGAGATGATGTTGTTGTTCTTGGCGATGATGATGTTGTTGCTGTTGCTGTTGTTCGATGTTGATGTTGTTGTTTGCGTTATTATTGTGCTGCTTATGTTGTTGTTGTTAACGACGACGATGTTTTTGTTTTTGTTGTTGTCTATGTTTGTTGCTAATAACTTTGATATTTTGTTTTTGTTGTCTATGTTGTTGCT